CCTAACCCTAACCCTAACCCTAACCCTAACCCTAACCCTAACCCTAACCCTAACCCTAACCCTAACCCTAACCCTAACCCTAACCCTAACCCTAACTTTTAGCACCTAGTCTACCTAGGCTCTAATAAGATCCGCTAGAGGGACTATCTAGGCTCCTAGTTGCTAAGTCTAAATCTTTCTCCCCTCCTCCTTCTTCTCCTATTACTATTACTAGGCGGGCGATAGCACGGCGAAGTAGCCGCTAGTATAGCTAGTAGTAAAGAGGCGCTAGTAGTAGATAGTTTATAGTAGAAACTTAGCAGCTATATTCTTTACCCGCTTAGTAGACTAGCTCCTATAGCTAAAGCCTACCTTATACTAGACGCGGAGGTGCCTCTATAGAGTCTCCTACTTCCGCCCTATAAAGGGGTATTATAGGTATAATAGACTATTCTTAAAGATTAGAATATCTAGGATAGCGGGAGCGAATAGGGCCGGGAGCTTAAAGGAGTCCACCTTAGAGTTAGCGAGCGGATACTACTTAAGAAGGGCGGCTATAGCTAGGCCTATAGCGGAGGGAGGCTATACGGACGGATAGCTCTTATAGTAGTTCTTTAGGTGGGTCCGAATATAGAATAGAGCGATAGCGCGCTTATATAGTTAGTAGATAAGGACCTTAAGGTCTAGAAAGTAGTTAAATAGATCTAGATCTATAGTGCCGTGGATAGAATATTAAGGTATATAAAGAAAGGGGGGAAAGATATAGGTGAGGGGCGATAGATAGGATATATAGAGGTAGGAGAACACGTAGGGTAGCCTAGTAATATATAGTAGTTACTAAACGCGTCTATATTCGTATTCGCGTTAGCGCGGCTATAATTTAGTTAGGGCCGTGTAAGGGGAAGAGTAGGTAGATAAAGGCTTCTATAGATAGACCTAGCGGTATAAAATTCTAAAGGTAGGGGATTGTATTATTCCGTTAGGGCAGGTAGTTAGTGCTAGCGTAAGTAGTTTAGTGCGGGTAGGGTGATAGTTTAGCAGCCAACTAGAGGGTTAGATAATTGGGAGGAGAGTAGATACAAAAAGGGCATGTAGTACTAAGGGCGTTTCTAATAAGATAGATAGACCTATAAAGGGTATTTTTAGGGATATTAAGAAGCCTATTAAGAGTAGTTCTAGAGGTGTTAAGTTACTTAAGAATAGTGCTTCTATTAATATTAACTAGCCTAAGAATAGTGCTATAGATATAATTAAAGAGCCTAGGAGTTAGATTCTACCTTCTTTAATAGCTTTAGAGAAGAAGTTAGTAATTACTACTATATAGAAGCTTAAGAAAGCGAATTAGAAGGCTATTTATAGAGCTATAGAGGAGGTAAATGTGTTAGAATAGGTTTATAGTAAGCCGAACCACTATTAGTAAGAGGACTTACTAGTAGTAAGTTGCAATAGCTCTATTAGAAAGAGGACTTACTAGTAGTAAGTTATAGTAGTAGGATTTAAGGTTCTAATTCTTTAGTAATTTTAGCGTTTATCTATACTACTATTTAGAGGATTGGAGCAGCTATAGAATAGCTACTAGGTGAGGGAGATATATAGTAGTATAGAAGGTTTATTATATAGAAGCTAGTATAGAGTGCGTATACTAAGATTAGAGGTTCTTTATTAGATAAGAGAGACAACTAAGATAGTTAGTATTAGTTGTATTATAGTATTAAGCTTTACTACACTCGTTCTATATATTATTCAGCCTTATATAATCTATTACTATAATCCTATCGCTACCTTAATAGTTCTACCTTAATACCTTATCTCTATAAATACGTACGACCTACTTACCTGAGCCTATACTCAAATCTCTTACCTATAATACTACTAGCTTACTAATATAACTTAGTATACTACTAGACTTCTACTAGAAGTATTTAGTCTATTAGATTAAAAGCTAGTAGAGTAAATTCTAGCTTCTTTACTTCTCTTAACTATCTAGAAGGTTTAGAGAGTATATTATTAGTACTTCTACTTCTTATCTAAAACTTAGCTATATTAGATAGCTTATATAGAGCTTTCTAACTTTAATATTATAAGTTTAATGTATTTAGAGTAAAAATATAATTAGGCTTAAGTGCTAGGTGAGTTTTAGTAGGGCGCGCATTGAAAAACGCTCAACTAGCGAGCCGAGTTATCGCCGAACCGTGGAACACCTATACAGATTATCGCATTGCTTCCCCGCAGTAGTACGAAACGCTGTTACCTTGGTAGGCTTACACGGTCTTGCTCTGCCACGCTGAATACTAGAGAACTAAACCCTTCATTCACCAACGCTTACTCTCGTTCTTAGCTAACAATTTACTGTCATCGATAAGCACTCCGGATTTTGCTGCGTCCGTGTGGCTGCGACAGGCCATAAGAGATGTCTGCAGCCAGCAAACCCCCGCGACAACGTCGAAGTCACGTAACAACGGCTTGCACGAATTGCAGACACAATAAACTCAAGGTACCTTATTAAAGACCCTCTACGTCGGCAACTCGGGCTTTAACTCTGACTCTGCTCATCACTGGCATAGTGCGACGGACAGAAACCACGCTGTGGTGCTTGTTCCAATAAGGGGTACGAGTGTGAATACCAGCTGGGCAAAGATAAACGCCAGTAAGTCAGCTGAAATCTTGACGATCGACCGCACACCGGGTTACAATCTCATGATGCCTTTGTGCAAACAGATTCTCGCTTCGAAAAGTCACAGATGTGTACTCGAAGCGTGTCATCCAGCTTGAGCAATTCATACAGTCACTGGGTGCTGAGGTCCCTCCACCCATCGATCAAAATGATGCCTCCGTCCTCAGACAGATTGCCGAGGCCATGCAATTACCCTCTTCTTCTGTCGGTGCTTCTGATTTAGTCGCAGACGAGACTCATGGAGTTTCTGGCAATATGGCGACCGCCGGGCAGGTCGACGACAGCAATCACCTGTACAGTCTTCAGCCCACCTACTTCCTAGGTCCAGATGTGGCAACCACAGATGAAGGCCATATGAACCAGCTCCCACAGACATCCTCTAGCTCCGGACTCTCTTATGAAGCGTACGATTTCATGATGCCAGGGGCAACTCTTCAACCGGACATAGATATGGGTTCCGTCGACTGGGTGTGGTCCCTGCCTCAGATGGTTCCGTCCATTCCGATGCAGCCAAATGATGATGTTGATCTCACAGACGCCGCACAGGGCCTGATCACTAATACTAGCAATTTTCAGTCATGGAATCCTGCGGCCTCACCAGCGGACAACACCAATCAGAACGTGCATGACTCGACCGAGCATGGCGCCTCTTCATCTGAAGACGAACATGACGATGAGATCATCGAACAGCTGTCAACTAGGCTGGGCGCCTTGTTGATTGGCGATATGGGAGAGCTTAGATACTACGGCCCTACCTCAAATCTTACTCTTACGGAAGGCGGAATACCTCGCGAGCATCGACCTTCCGTCACCCGCCGATCCAAAGAGGCAATTGCGGAACTGGAGCAGAATGGCATCGGACATGATCCCGATATTGACCTTGTTGACCAGCTCATTGATTTGTACTTCACATGGCAGGACCCATCCTGTCACATTGTTGACAAACTAATCTTCCACGAAGAGCGGGATTTGTGCAAAGGCAGTGACAGGGAGAGCTCATTGTATAGTGCTGCTTTGGAAAACGTCATGTTAGTTCTCGCGACCTTAAACACAAGCCCTTGACAGTTCGGTTAACATTTTGCGCAGATGTGCGCTTGGTGCATTGTTCCATGGCGACAAGCATCCGGACCTACCCCGACCTCTATCTAAATTTTTCGCGAGACGAGCGAAGATCTTGGTGGAGTACGAGCTCGACTGCCCAAAGATCGCGACTGTGCAGACCTTTTCACTATTGAGCTGGCATGAAGCGACTTGCACTCAGGATTCAAGAGGCTGGTTGTATGCAGGTGAGTTTTCTTGCGTGATTCTCGATACAAGAAGTATCACAATATTTGCGCTGTGAAGACAGGCTTACATTTGTGCCAGGTGCTGCGACCCGGATCTCGCTGGATCTTGGGCTACACATTGACACTACCGCACGAGTGGAAGATGGATCTATGACCGTCCGCGCGTCATATGCTCGCAGTGTAGCGTTTTGGGGAAGCTTTCTCACTGATCGGTAGGTCCTCTTGTTTGACTTTCTCTGGAATCTTCTCGAGGCCTGCAAGTGACTGACCTTTAGGATGTGGGGCTTTTACCTTGGACGACCCTTCAGTCTTCATATACCAGAGATCAGCCTACCCTTGCCCTCGCCTAAGGAACCCGAAGATACGCAGCACGTTTGGACCCCGAGTGGAATGTTCGACGGGGAAGACGATGTTGAGAAGCCACCGATTCTGGACTGTTCCCGGGACATGTTGGCGTTGCAGTGGGTCACGCTTTGTCAGATTGTATCATCGTTGACCGTCACACTGTCAGTATTATCTAGTTTCGGTGAATCCTCGCTAACAGTGTTCAGCTACGGTCGTCGAGTGGTTTCAAAGGAGGACCTTGTGGATCTAGGCGTTGAAACATTTCGGCGCCTACGTGAATGGAAGAGTGATCTTCCTTCACAGCTCCAATACGACCCAAGAGACAAATCCGCCAGAGTGACTCCCCACGTGCTGTTGCTACAGTATGACTGACGATCTACCGGAAATGCTTACACTGACGAATGCAATAGCATGCAATATTATGCTTTCGTAATCATTCAACATCGTCCATTCATTTCAAAGGGTGGCATACAACCTTACCCTCCGCGGGGAGATGGCCCTCTCCATGCCCGCAGAATGTGCTTAGAGTCCGCGATCGAAATTGCGCGACTCTTAGAGGATTACGCCACACGATTTGCATTTCGGTTCGCGAACACTCAGATAGTTCACATCGCTTTCTCAGCAGCGTTAATATTGCTTTACGCTTCGGTTTCGGAAACTGATCGTCAGCGTCACGCGACGCTGGCCGGCCACCTTACCATCTGCTGCGATGCTCTCGCAGAGCTTGGAAAGGTCTTCGAAAATGCCACTAGAAGCCTCGATACACTCCTGATCATCAAGAGAACCTGGCAAGCAAGACTCGTCTCAGGTGCAGGTCACAAGAGGCGGAGCACTCAACAGACTGACTCAATGGCTCGTACCTTGCGTAAGAAAATTCGAGACGGCATGTGAGATTTGGACGATGAACATCGCTTCCGGTTCTACGCAACTAAGAACTCGTTGCATGACAAGGTTCAAGGTGAGCAATTAATACAGAAATCGGGTTGCCCACATTCACATCGGCCTAGGAACAAACGTTCTGAGCCATTGTTCAGATGTCAAGGTATCATAGATTTCAGAACAGAGTAGGCTATGTATGGCTTTCAGAACCCCTCAGAAGGCTCGAATTTTGCTAGCAATGTCCCAAGTCTTTGATGCGCAAATCTGGCTTGCTGTAATCTATGGAATGTCGGGTGGCCGAGAGACATAGCGAAAAGCGCATGTGGCTAGCTGATAACCTGCGGAAGTTTGCTTCGAGCGTCGATTGCAAATCAAGTTGTCCTCGCGCGAGAAGGCTACAACCTCGGTGTCTCGACTCTCACTTTTTCGTGTATGCATGAAGCACATATCTTGCCATCTTTAGTCTCAATGACTGCCTCAAGATGGGTGAGCCTCCTTCCAGCCGACACGACCCGGCAAATCAACTCGACCGTGGTGTTGAGAGGCAATGGCCTGTGGAAGACAACTGAAAGTGATCTGCTAACCCCAAGATTGTCCCAAAATCCAGGTCTTCCAACGGTGAAGAGTGCGGTTGAGCTCAGATTGTCAAATATTGTGGAAGCGGCGCCACCGTGAAGATTTCCGTCTTTGTTGCACATGACATCTACAACGCGGAATCTGAATCGGGTTGTCTTGTTCTCGATGTTGGCTTCGATGAAGTCGGTGTGGCGGAGAGGCCCTGTGTCGAATCCATTGTATTCAGGGTCGGACACCACAGTCACCAAGTAAGCTCTGATCCGTTCGCCGACAGAGAGACTGAAATCCGTGCCTCTATACGCGTCAATCATTGCATCTGGTACTGTCGCAACACCCTTCGCGCCGCGTACAAAGATGAGCTTTTGAATTTTAAATGCTCTATTCTTCGGTGTGCAGGTTTCTTGAACTAAGGGCCGACGTCGGAGGCTGGGAACCTATTTCCAGGGACGGGGATGTGAATGTGGGCCGGCAAACTCTCGCCAACCCCCGTCCATTAGCTTACGGAAAACTGCACACAAGTCAAGCAGTGTTTGCTCCACAACTTCATGATTGTTGCGTTCCTACGCCAGGTTAGCGGAGAATACGAGCTCTAAGTAGTCGTGGGCCCAAAATTCTATGGGACATGGAAACGGTTATGACTCCCTTGATCCCCGCGAAAAGTCATAACCGCCCACGGCTTCCGAGATTCCACATCTGAGGCGCCGAATCTGCTGCCTGTGAGTACTGACTACGAAACAGCGTGTCGCTTCCGCCGGAAACCATGTTCCAACTAAGAGAGCGTGTGACTAAACTACGCCGGGTTGCGATGAGCCCGCTTTGGTGATGGCGATGCACGATGTAGATGGGAACCAAACAGGATGTGTTATATAGTCGGCTGTAGACATTTCTCTGTGCCCCAATTCGAGTTTCATATAACCCAAGACTGTCAATCCAGAACACCTTCTCTATACCAAGCCATCTCATAGTCATGGCGCCACAGCTTGCAGAGTTCGATCACACGACTTTCACGACCACTTCTCAACTGAAGAAGTCGGCGCACCTCACCAATGGCTTTTCTCACCATGAAGACATCAGGGACGAGAATCCAGAGCAAGACCTGAGCGATGATGAGTTTGCCACCATCTCTATCCGTAACCTCGTGCATGATTTGTGCATGCAGAACGGCGGTGGTCATGGCGGCTCCGCACTAGGCATGGCTGCCATTGGTGTGGCATTGTGGAAGTATGAAATGCGGTATAATCCTTGCGATCCGGAGTGGTTCGATAGGGATCGATTCGTACTTTCCAACGGCCATGCAAGTATGTTTCTCTACACTATGAACCATCTTGTAGGATATAACGTTTGGACCATGGAACAGTTGAAAGGATATGGTGCTGCGAAACTCAACGGCTACACCACGATCTCACACGCACATCCTGAAATCGAAGTACCTGGTGTGGAAGTCACAACCGGGCCTCTAGGACAAGGCATAGCAAACTCGGTGGGCCTCGCCATTGCTTCGAAAAACCTCGCTGCTACTTTCAATAAGCCGGGCTTCGACGTCGTTAGATCGAGGATATACTGCACGACAGGTGATGGCTGCTTGATGGAAGGTGTGGCCTTAGAAGCCATTGCCCTTGCTGGTCATCTTCAACTGGACAACCTTGTACTGTTGTACGACAACAACCAAGTAACATGCGACGGTCCACTTGAATGGGTTAACTCCGAGGACATTAATACCAAGATGAGAGCTTGTGGCTGGGAAGTGCTTGATGTTCTCGACGGCACTAACGATGTGCAAACAATCGTGTCAGCTCTAAGCTATGCAAAAAGATTGGTCGGCAAGCCGGTATTCATCAATATCCGGACAGTTATCGGCGCAGGTACCGCGGCTGCGGGAACAGCAAAAGCTCACCATGGTGTCTTCGATAAAGAAAGCGTCGCCAAGTCCAAAGCTCTGACAGGTCTTGACCCCGAGAAATCCCACGTTGTCCCTCAAAGAGCTCTTGATTTCTTTCGCGAACGGCGCGCAGCTGGCACTGCACTCGCAAAAACATGGTCAGATTTATTGGCCCGATATGCAGAGAGATTTCCAGAGTTGCACGAGTCACTCGATGCCCGCCGTCGAGGTATCTGCGGGGACTTCGACCAAGTCTTGAGTGGTATCGACAGCCAACAACTCAGGGGGTTGGCGACTAGAGAGAGCAACGGAGTCATCTTAGAGAAGCTTTGGAAATCCTGTCCAGCACTTTGCGGTGGTGGCGCCGATCTGGCGAACTCGAACAAGATCACGTACGCCGAGACAGATGTGTTTCACCCACTGACAGGGTATAAAGGGAGATATCTACGACATGGCATCCGAGAACACGCTATGGCGTCTATTGCGAATGGACTGGCAGCGTACTCCCCAGGCACCTTCTTACCAATTACGGCTACATTCCTCATCTTCTACATCTACGCAGCACCAGGAGTAAGAATGGGGGCACTTAGTGGGCTGCAGGTTATACACATCGCAACCCACGACTCGTTTGGAGAGGGACAAAACGGCCCTACACATCAGCCTGTGGAGATAGACTCGCTCTACCGCGCCATGCCTAGTCTCCAATACTTGAGACCTTGCGACGCGGAAGAGCTTGTCGGATGCTGGCAGATCGCACTTTCCGCGCGCCACCAGCCCAGCATGCTTTCGCTAGGACGGGACCCGGTCGGACAAGTTCCCAACACGTCTCGCGACAAAGTGAAACTCGGTGCCTATATGGTAGCGGAGGAGGCTGACGCGGACGTCACCCTCGCAAGCTGCGGCACAAATCTGCACTACGTGGTCTCCGCAGCTGAACTGCTTAAAAAACGTCATGGGATCAAAGCTCGTCTTGTCAGCGCTCCCAGCCTGGACCTCTTCCAGCTTCAAGACGAGCACTACCGCGCTGCTATCTTCCCGCTCGACGGTAAGCCGGTCATTAGCGTTGAGGAGTACGTCGCTACGACCTGGGCGCGATATGTGACGGCCAGCATCGGCATGACCTCTTATGGATACTCTGCTTCCAATGAGAGCAACTACCAGCGCTTTGGGCTTGATGCGAAGGGAATAGAGGGCAAGGTGGTGGCTTATTTAGCCAAGCTGCAAGGACAGAATGCGCGGACGGCTGGTTGGCATCAGTTGTGAAATCCGGCCAGGGTGTGAAACGCATTGTGCTTGGTACATCTGCTGTGTGAGCGCAGTTGAAGTCTTGGGCTCGAGCTATATGAACAAAATCCTAATCTCATGGCTCCCCAAATGCCGAGACCTTTTTTTTTTTTTTAACTACACACGCTATCGTCGATGCGATATTGGGCTCGTTAAGCGCATGAAGGATCTTTAGCGCCGAGAAGACTTTTGCGATTAGTAAGAGTCGGATCAAGTGTACAAAACTGACTACTTTGCACATCATCAGGATTGTAATATATTTGGAGATGTTTTACTGTTAATAACCGTGTATAGCCCTCCGCACCAGCATATTCTATCTATCAGTATTTCCGATAGTAATGGCCTTCATTGTCATGTACTCTGCTAGACTATACTTGCTGCCTTCTCTTCCATACCCGCTTTCTAGCACGCCACCGAATGGCGTCTCCGCTGCACTGATTTTCCCTGTATTAACGCCTACCATACCACAGTTCATTTTGTTAGCCACACGCATTACGCGTCCAACGTCTTAACTAAAGAAGTAGCCAGCTAGACTAAATTCGGTGTCGTTGGATATAGCGACGGCCTCATCCTCGGTTTTAAATGAGAAAATAGGGGCTAGCGGGCCGAAAGTCTCGTCTTTGGCAACGAGCATTTCTGATGTGACGCCAGTCATCACAGTGGGTTCGAAGAAGAAGCCGCCATTTAAAGGGGCCGAGCCGCTAATGTAAACTTTGGCGCCTCGCTCGACTGCGTCTTTGACGTGTGCTGCCACCTTATCGGTCGCCGCGCGGTTGACGAGTGGGCCCTGCGTCACGTCTTCGTCGAACCCGCATGCCATCTTTAGCGCTCGAACTTTCGCCACAAGATGGTCGGTGAACTCTTCTATCACATTCTCTTGTACGAGGATTCGGTTCGCGCTGTGAATTGTCAGTTATCAGGATTGCCCGAAGCACTAATAATGAAGCACGTTCGATTGCACATTAACAGTGGAGTAAACAAAACCATGAGCTTACCAGACACATGTTTGACCAAAGCAGCGGAACTTTGAAAGCATTACTCCATCCACCGCGAGAGCGAGGTCTGCATCGTCAAAGATAATAAAAGGGGCATTGCCACCAAGCTCTAAACTCATCTTCTTTATCGTTCCAGCAGCGGCACGACTTAGGAGTTTACCCACAGGCGTGCTGCCTGTGAAGCTAATCTTCTTGACTAGGGGGTTTTCGACAAGCTCCATTGCAGCCTGACGTTCCTTTGTGGGACAAATCTGTAGGCACTCACTGAGTTACCATCGATACCGACTTCGATGGCAAGCTTCGTCAGAGCGAGGTATGTATGCGGCGTCTCGCTAGGTGGCTTAATCACGCAGGCACAACCCGCTGCAAGGGCAGGCCCGACCTTTCGCGTGATCATAGCGGCTGGGAAGTTCCATCTATTCGGCGCAAACACGTAGTCAGTGGCAAATTAAGTTGATGGTTTGTCTATGGGAGCGAGCTTACGGAGTGATGATGCCGCAGACTCCAATGGGCTGCATGACAGTCATGACAGTGGTATTCGCTGTCGACGACGGAATTGTGTCTCCATAGGACCGTGTTGCCTCTTCTGCAAACCATGATGTGAAGCTTGCGGCATACAAGATCTCTCCTTCTGCCTCCGCAAATGTCTTGCCGTTCTCAAGGCAGAGTATTGTCGCAACTAGACGAAAGAACATATCAGTATCTTGCTCAGATGTCAGGTTTAGAGGTGTAATGTACGGTCTTTTGAATTGGCAATGATGGCATCGTACCATTTTCGCAGCAGCACACCTCTTTGAGTGGCAGTTGTTCTTTCGTAAAACTGTCTCTGAGCCACAGACGCGCTCTTGATTGTGCGCTAGAAATCGTGTCGGTCTACGCTGGCAACCTTGCTAAAGCCTTTGCCTGTTAAAGGGTCTGTTCGACAATAAGTAAATCGCTCAACGCACACCATTGTATCATTCCGCTGACACTTACCAACCACGTTAAATGTTGAATCTTTTTGCTCCCATCTGCCATCGATAAAGGCATCGGAGATGAAGAGACTCGGATCTGATAGCTGATCATCATCAGCGATGGTACGTATTGGCGGAGCTCGCGGATGCTGACCTTCTGCAACCTGGCTGGTGTCACCTCTACCGCCGCTGGACCTTTAGTCTTGACTGCTGGAGTTCTATTCAGTCCATTCATGGTACCGTTCATGCTGGCACCCGTGTCGTTGATGTTAATTCCAGGCATGTTAAGAGGTTAAAGTCAGGTCGGGAAGCTTGCTGTTTGTAAGTAGTACTGCATAAGAAGTTCGGTGTCATCCAGCTTTCGTTTACACAGAACCCGCATCAAGCTGCACCGAGCGGACACTTGTGCAGTGCAAGGTCATCATGGAAGTCCGGTCCTCGGACGTTTCCGATGCTGATGCTCAGAAATGCTCAGGGTATTGCGAGCTCTCGTGCGAAACATGATTTTCGAGCCCAGGCTAACACGGCTCTAGGTGTGAAAATATCCCACATTGTGCGAAGTTGATTCGGAAAGGTTCTTTGAACCTGGAATCTTCTTTGCCTAGGGTCCACAAACTCAAAAGCCACTGCCGCTGGGTGATGGCCTCAGCCTCCTCGTGTTGGGGAACAGCAGACTTCCGGTGTCGAGCACCCAAAGGGTCATGCAACAATTCTTGTTGTGGAGCTCATGTCAGATCGGGCACTCCGGGGGTAGGCCTAGGCGTAATCTGGGCAAGGTGACGAGTACATTTGGCGGAAGGATTTACGGAGGTCGGCCTGCCACCGGTCTCATGTCTCGAACAAAACCTGACCTGCCTCTTGCACCGCACGGTTCTCAGGTCTAAGCTTGCTACATATCCGGTTACGGCGCTTTTTCGGCACTGCGAAGAGTTCAACACGGATTTTTAAAATTATACCATCATTTCTGGAAGTTGTTTTCATTCGCTCTGCCGGCAAAGATAAATCCTTAGCGCCAAATTGAATTCAGATGCCTGACACCTCGCCGTGTGGAAACTGGTTTCCGAAGCTCGGAGCCTCACCTTCTCGGGTTTCCACTCCGAGCTTGCGAACATCTGAATCGCTCTGGAAACGACTCCAATGATGATTTTTGGTCAGCAATGGGCCAGTCTCGCCTACCTATATCGTGGCTACTCCTCCTGCTGTCGAACTCTTGATTTGCGTTATCACACTCTCCCACATATCCCTGATAACTTGTCATTTCCAGAAGAGATCACGTAGCGAGAAGATGCCCCGACCAAATGCGATTATCATTGGTGCCGGCCCTTCGGGCATTGCTATGGCATATAAGCTGAAGCACAAGCTCGGTTTTGAGGATTTCATGATCTACGAGAAACTGGATGGAGTAGGCGGCACCTGGAGGACAAATACCTATCCAGGCTGGTAGGTGAAGCAAACCTTCGCGCTTGACCCACTGCATAGGATTGGCTGACACACCATAGTGGTTGCGATATCCCAAGTCATCTTTACTCTTTCAGTTTCAACCTCAACCCGAATTGGTCCAAAGAGCTTTGTGATCAATGGGAAATCCTGGAGTATATGGAAGCTACTGTGGACAAATTCGGGCTTGATCACCATGTCAAAACTGGAGTCGAGTGCCTTGGAGCATCTTGGGATTCGAATAATCTCAGATGGGACGTCAAATTTCGCGATCTACACACGAATATTGAGTACACGAGATCCGCGACCGTCTTTGTGTCCGCAGTCGGAGCGATTTCATTTCCGCGCGACACCAGATTCAAGGGCATGGAGACCTTCAAAGGTGATATGTACCACACTGCTAGATGGAACCACTCCGTCAAGTATGCTGGGAAGCGCATGGCCGTCATTGGAAACGGCTGTAGCGCGGCGCAGGTGGTACCCCAGGTCTCTAAGTACGCTAGTTTCGTTAAGCAATACGCGCGTAGCCGACAGTGGTACCATGATCGACCTAACCGGACATACACTGCCTTCGACAAATGGGCATTCAATTATGTTCCTTTCTGGATGAAGCTTCTACGTCTAAGTATATTCATCGACGCTGATCTCTCGACATCGACCTACATGGCTACTCCGAAAGGTATTAGAGCTAGGCATAAGACCGAAGAAGAGGCAAAGAAGTATATTTACGGCAAAACTCCCAAGAAATATCACGACCTGATCGTTCCAACGTTCCAGCTGGGATGCAAGCGCCGGATATTCGACCCAGAATACTTGGACTCCCTTCACAACTCTAACGTCGAGCTTGTTGCGGAAGGAATCCAGGAGATTACCGAGGATGGCATCATCAGCAGCGCAGGCATTCACGAAAAATTTGACATCATCGTACTTGCAACCGGTTTCCAGGTATCACAGTTCCTCACGCCTATGGAGATTATCGGAAAGCATGGCATCTCGCTTAATCAACAGTGGAGAGAGTGCAGAGGTGCTCAAGCGTACCTTGGTACGCATGTACACAATTTTCCCAACCTCGCTATCATGTGAGTACGACAGGTACGAATCTAGGTGACGAGAGATACTAATGAGTGCGCAGTTTTGGTCCAAACACGTTCCCGGCGAACAATTCCGCCTTGTTCGCCTGCGAGACTCAAGTTGACTTTGCCATTAGGTCGCTCTTCGCTCCGATCTTGGACAATAGAGCCCGCGTCATCGAAGTGAAGCAATCGGCTGAAGATCGTGAGACGCAGAAGGTCCATAAGGCGCTACGCAACAGCGTCTTTGCAGGCGCTTGCAGCAACTGGTACATCGGTGACTTTGGCCGCAACGCTGCTTCGTGGCCGGGATACGCCCTGTCTTTCTGGGTAGCGACCTACTTTCCTAAGTGGTCCGCGTTCGAGATGGATGGTGGTACCAGGTTTTGGGCATTCAATTCACTGACTAGGTGGCTTCGGACTGAGAAGACCATCATCGTGCTATTTGTCGTGCTAGCCGCTGCAGCGTTGCACTTCAGTCTGATTAGGTCTTTTGGAGAACTGCTCGCCGTGACAGAGTAACCTCTCGTTGACGGTCCCAAGGATACATGGTGTTCGGCGCCGGGATTATTTCATAGGAAAAATTATGCCAACCTAGCTTAATCATATCTTGTTAGCTTAATGATTCAATTCACGAGTCGGAGGAAGAGTCTCTCAATACCTTCGTGATATGAACCTGCAACAAGAAGCGAAACTGCGTCGGTTTTGTCAACGACTGTTTGGGTATCACTTGAGGCATTACGAACCATCCTTTAGCAAAGCTCTCTGTTGTCGTTGTTGCGAGTATGTGCTAGTCGATCAACAACACTCACACATAGCATGAACATGACTTTTGATGATCCAATCTATTGCGACAATACCTTCCCTAATTCAACACTAGATTACGTATACCGCAACCGAGCTAAGGAACCCTTTAACTTGCTCGTGTAGAGTATTCCAATCTACAATTCTCCTTTCTCGTTTTTGACTAGGTATCTGTGTAATCTTTTAAGCGTCTGAAGCGTCGGACTTCTGCGAGCAGGCAGTGACTGTATTCACAGGAATGTCTTTGCTAGTTAAGGGTCGAAAAAGGTATCTTCCAAGCAGCTCTCAAGATAATAGCCAGGTGCTGTGTCAAGTCCAATGTAAATATTTGAAGACATGCCGTACAGGGGTTGGATGTGAAGAAGCTCTAGTGTGATAATGCCTGGATTGAGTACGCTGAGGAACTCCTGATTCACTCAAAGACGAGAGGATGCCAAGCTCCAAACCTCGCGCCACCTTCTCGTGTAGACCCTCGATATGATGATCGGGACATGGTTCGCGCTTCTGCACCAATGCCTGTCACCGATGCTGATCCTTCGGTAGCGTAGGCTGCCTAGATCGCAGTCTAATATTCTAGATCGTAGCTTTCGGGCGTTGCAACAAGATGGAGAGTCGTTCGTGGACGACGCTTGTGTTCCGTAGATTCTCCCACTTTGCCACCGGGATACCTATCTGGAAAAGCAAAACCCTCGTAGAAAGTATACTGGATATTACTAGAGACCCGTGCACCCCACAGAATTTAGTGTGAGTCCATAAGAACGGGATCTGTCTTCCTATCTACCTACTCAAAGTCGCGTAAAATATCTTCGGGACTTCATCTGTGGTTGGAAAACGGATTCCATGTCGCGGGAACTCCCACGCTCGCGCCATCAAGTTCCCGGTCAAGCCTCATACCATTTCCAGTTAGGCTCACCCATCTGATTGGCAAAACAAACCTAAGGACTGCCGAGTGTGGAGCGTTAGCTCACAGGCCAGCCTTTCATCAGTCTCTCCCCATGGGGTCTTGTGGAAATGCGAAAGTTGACCGGAGGGATGGATACTGGGCTGGAGGGTGTTGCGGGGTATGTATCGTGACAGATGCCGAGCAAACTCGTGGAAGGCGTATTTAGTCGTCCGCTCTCCCCACGATCTCCATCTCGTCTCCATCACCTTCCCTTCGATATTTGCCCGAAACAATCAGTTGGGCTTCTACAATATGCTGTCTCAAGTCGAGATCGCCCCGCCGGGTCTGCCAGCGAGGAAACTCTCTGTTTCCCAACAATGGGTCAGTCAAGTCGAACAAAGTACCCTCGTTGTAAGTCCTCCACCGTATCTCGGCGCGGAATGGTACTAATCAGGGTCCCAGGACGGGCACGTCATTGAAGCTGAGAATGAAGACAAGATGACGCCTTACCTAGCCTTCTTAATCGCCGCGGCGGCACTTGGTGGTTTCCTCTATGGTTACGACACAGGCGTTGTCGGGGTTGCACTTCCTTACGTTGGGACTGAGTTCGGTGGAAAGGTACTCTCGTACTCTCAACAGGAGATTGCCACGGCGGCCACCACCATCGGCGCCATCATCGGCGCTGCCATCTTGGGCCTGTACGCCGACAAATGGGGTCGAAAGCCCTGCTTGCTGATCGCCGACCTTTTCTTTACCGCCGGTGCAATCGTGATTGCAGCCAGTTTTTCTCTCGGCCAGCTCATCGCTGGTCGTCTTATCCTAGGCGTCGGAGTGGGTGGTGCGGCTGTTATATGCCCACTTTACATAACTGAGCTGTCTCCGACTGCGGTTCGTGGGCGATGTGTCGGGACAAACGGCTTCTGCATTCCGTTCGGCCAGACAGTCGCTGTCGCCATTGGTTCCGGCATGCAACACGTCAAGGGCAACTGGCGGATCCTCTTCGGTCTTGGTGTTGTTCCCTCGCTTATACAGCTCGCCCTCATGCATTTTCTGCCGGAATCGCCACGAGTTCTTATCCTTCGTGGCCAGGACGACAAGGCTCGAGAAGTACTCAAGCAAATCTACAAGTACGCCACACCCGAGATCATTGAGCTCAAGTTGAAGATCGTCAAGGATCACGTTGCCGCCACTACGGCTCTGCAGCGCTCGACCACCTTTTGGCAACGCTCCAAGAGGCTGTGGACCCACAAGCCGTATCGCCGTTCGATTTTCACCGTCAGCTTTATCCAGGTCTTTGGTCAATTCACCGGTTATAACACCCTTCTCTACTACGCTGGTACGCTGTTCGGACTCCTGGGCCTCTCCAACCCGTCTGTTGGCGGGTTGATCCCCTCGATCACCAATACTTTCTTCCTTCTTCTTGGCATGATCATGGTGGACCGGATTGGTCGTCGTGGGCTGCTGATGAGATTCGGTCCCATCATGGTCGTTGGACTCACTTGGAGTCTCGTCGCTTTCTACTACATGTGCAAGCCGACAGGAGGCTTCCTCGTTGCTGGCTTCGAATATCCCCAGAAAAACGTCGGCCTGGTTATCGCCGGAATCGTCATCTTCGTCACCGGCTTCGGCTCCACCTACGCACATCTTTGTTGGTACCAGTCCGAGTACCTCGCTCTCGAGATTCGTGCGGCGGGCAGTGCTATAAGCACGACCGCGAGCTTTACGGCAAATTTGGTGGTCGCCGTGTCCTTCCTCACCCAGTGCGTGTCTCTCCCGTTGCAGTATGGGGCAATTTAGCTGACTCGATTATAGACTCGAAACGCTTACTCCCAGCGGGACATACGGTCTATATCTCGGCTTCATCCTCATCGGCCTTGTGCTTGCCTACTACTGCTACCCCGAAACCAGTAAGTGATGATCCTCGGTCGAGAGATGGTGCGTTGCTAACTTGTCTTTCCCAGAGGGCCTATCGGTCGATGAAGCCTTCACCCTCTTCGACGATGGCTTCGGCGTCAAGAAATCAAAACAGATGCGGAAAGAGAAGATCGAAATGCAAAAGAACTACAGAGCCGAGGACGCTCAGTGGATTCCAGCCGAGACCGCTCCAGGCGAGGTGGGAGAGAAAGACAGAACCTTCCAGATCGAGAACGTACAATCCGTCCAATCCACCCGGTAAGGGTTCTATCAAGGTGCAGAGCTCGAGTCATACCTTCATTAGGTAGACGAGTGCGCGTGGAAACCAATGAGTGTCTCTGTTGGTTGGAACGAAGGAATGATGCTTTATATACTGTAACAGAATATCCGCGCGGTGCGCTTCAGCGTACGGTTGTGATGATACGCCTCAAGCAATAACATCGATCAATCTTGTTCTAAATGCTCACAAAAGAAACGCCCACCGTTTTCCGCGCTTCAACCCAGCCGAATCACGATGGACTGCCCCCGCGACGCCACTTGTGGTGAAAGTTGTTCGAAGTCCACGCCGAAGCAAGCTTCTTTCCTGTGGGAAGTCTGCTTACTTCACGCGTCGGCTAATATACCGACCTTCTATAAGGATTCTAGTGGGCTTGAGGACAGAGACGACTCTCCTCCTCGGACGTCAAGTTCATTTCATCCACCGCACTTCCTATGGCTATCTGACCCCAATTTCTGGAGTAATATGGAGCACACTCGTAGGGTTTGGCACTGCGGGAGGCTCTACGGGCTCGTCCGCAGACTAGTATGGCTCCTCCTCATCCCGGCTCAATTTAGGCTCGCTCAATTTAGGCTCACTCAAAATCCGGAGCTCGTCGCGCCCGCTCAGGGCGGCCTCACTCTTGCACACACAGGAGGGTGAGCGCGATGCAGATTTTCTAAACTCTTGGGCTTAAGGGTTTTTTTGTGAACGAGCTTCTGGGATCCTGTGGGTCGTAGGAGTCACGTGGTTCGTGTGGCATCGTATGGGGAGATATGCCGGCGCGGGAAACAGATTCCAATAGCGTCGTTAAGGCCGGCACGCGACAAATCTGGCCGGTCCGCTTTTACAGCTCCGCTCGGTCACGTACGAGCTATGAATCAGTCATAGCTAATGCAAAGCTAGAACTCTTAGAAGGTTAGGACTAATAAGGCAGTCGACCACAATGCAGGTCGAAGTCCCGTTATCGGTACCCACTTTCCTACACAGGGTAGGGGGAACAACGAGTGTGAGCACCGCCAAGGTTCCTGGGACTGCCTTTTCTCGTCTATGCTTATTAGAGAGCTTAAGCTGATGCTTGTTGTCACATAGTGTGCTACGGGTTTTCCGAACGGATTCGAGAATCCGGGGGCCCTGGAAACCCTAGAGCGGGGTGTCATACTGCAGCTGTATCACAAGGCCAGACTCCATGCCTACAGCTGGATTGTTCTGTGATTCAACTTGCGAACCCGGCAAGCCCTCATCAGTATGGTTGACATTGGCGATTTTCGCTTTGGCGTTGCGACCGCTTCGCTTGGTATGGCTGCCTTGCACACCCTCGAGCTAAAATTTGCGGCCCTTCAAAAATCTGGCTTTACGTGTTGCGAGCTAGGCTTTGGGGAATATGTCGCATGGGTGCGCCGACGATGTCCACACCTGTCAGTGACTGGGTGCGACCCTTGGGTTATAGCAAGCTGATGGTACCGGCAGGCCTCCGTCGACTTGTCCCCCGGAATGGTGCGAAGGCGACGAGCCGGACCCAAGCGACGGGGAGATCTGGGAGGCGATGGATGCCCAAGCACCGAGGCTCATTGCTTTGGCGGAAAGTTTTGGTCTGACGATCATGGCGCTACAGCCTCTGAATCAGTTTGACGGTTGGCCTGAGGGCTGTGAAAGGGCGGAATGGGTTCGGCGGAAAGCGGAGAGGTGGTTGCCTCTGTGCGCACAACTGGGTGTGAAGCTGCTGCAGGTGTGTATCAGACTTCTGTTGACTCCAGTTGAAGCTGATGGCGTGGTCCCCAGGTGGGCTCCAACGATCTTGCCGAGGCGAACGCTCCGGACGAGAAAACCGCGGCCGATCTACATTGGCTTGCCGAATTGGGAGCACGACAAAGCCCCCCCGTCAGGATTGCGTACGAGTCGTGGTGCTTCTCGAAGCGAGTCAACACTTGGGAGCACACTTGGGAATTGGTACAAATGGGGGTCCGTCTTTGAGGGTTCTGATGGTGGTTGATCGAGGCTGAGCCACTGCAGAATCATCCGAACTTGGGCCTCTGTCTCGATGTTGCCCATTTTCCACTCGCCCCGTCATACGGGTGGGATCCCCTCACCGGCGAAGGTTGGACAGAATCGGATTACGAAAAATTGATCGCAAGGCTCCGGACTGTCCCAGCCGAAAAGATCTTTTACGTCGAGCTCTCCGACGTTCTCAAGCCGGTCATACCGTTGGGACAGGGTAGCGATTTTGACGCATGGCGAGAAAAGAATCGACCTTCTAGAGGTGACAACTTTGTCTGGGTAATATGCGGACGTCCTGTTCCATTTGTCGGCAAGAGTGCTGGCAAAAGTGTCAATTCTAACGACGATATGGGTGGGGGGCGGGTCCTTGAATCCGTTAAGGCCATACTCAGTACTGGATTCAAAGGTGTGCATCCTCACATCTTGCGATGCTTGTTCTGACTCCCGACAGGTCTCGTCATGTTCGAGTTTTTCGAGGCGGTAGTCATGGAGAGAGAGGACCCATCGATCCCCGAAATTTACGCCGAGGCCTGTGCTACTTCGCAAAGGATTTTCTCAAAAGCTATAGAGGGGATGTAGACATAAGTGGTAGCAACAATTGACAGGCGGATGCCGGAGGAAGAGAATGATCTGATCCAAAATGCAGGGCGAGGGATAAAGGCATGACGCCGTCTCAAAAGCAGGCTGTTGGCAGCTCAACACGCAGGATGAGCTGGATCAAGTTCTCGGTCGGGATCAATCGCATCATGTTGGACCTTTTGTGTACCGTGTGGAAACCATACATCTTCATGTCACTGAGAGAACATGCTCCGACTTCAAATTAGCACAGACTTGGGTCAGAGACAATGTATATGAGCGTCCGAGGCCTAGGCTCGGAAGTCTACTCCCGTAACAATTCGTGCTATACCGATGAATTTAGGTTAGGCGGCGGAACTCCAGGCATAGCACCAGACTTTTGAGCCCTCATACAAAATTCTACCAAGTCAAGCCTTTTGCCAATTGTCTCTCCTCCTAACGAAACTCAGCAACTCCATAAGTATTTTAGAATCGCTGAGGAAGCCAGGGAGATCACTGAGATTGGAAAGAAAGTATCTGCAACACGTGTTCGTCCGATAATTTGGTATTCATCAGGGTCAAAAAGAAATATCCGTGATACCAGCGTCAAATCATCCTGAATACTACATAATTTGTATTGAACATAAGGACCACCATCTCATATTGCAAGTGATAACAATTCAAGGACAGCCTGTGGTGACGGAGAATAGGTAGACTTTCTCAAAAGATGAGCACAACTTTTGAACTACCGCGTAAGACCGTTTCCTGTACTCATTCCACCGTCGATCGCAAGATTGTGCCCAGTGACGTACGCTGCGACGTCGGACAACAAATATACTAGTCCGCCTGCTATGTCTTTTGGGTGACCTATGCGTTTCATAGGCGGCGCTTCTGTGAAGTAGTGTTTCACGTTGGGCCTGATTTTGGCAAGATCCAGATTAAGATCAGTCTCAATGTACCTGTTTCAGAAGTCAGGCGTCGTTACCTCATAGGGAAATGGATCTCGTTTGTAGGAACCAAGCTTACCCTGGACTTATACTGTTGACCCTGATTCCGGTCGTCGCCAACTCATGGCCAAGCTGCATGGCGAAGGATTTGACGAAACCTTTAGTTCCTCCGTAGGCCGTTAACAGATGACCGGGGCAGTTATGAGATGCAGCCGCAGAAGCAATCATCACTATGCTTCCTCTAGCACCTCCTCTTTCGCACACCGGCTGTGACAGCATTTGGCGAACCGCCAATTGAGCCGGAAAGAATGTCCCGGCTTGCTGGAATGCTTATCAGCTAACGGTCCATGTCAAACTTCAATACTTGCAACAAGTACTCACGTTTACCGCTACCACCCTCTCAAAATCTTCCCACTAAGGTGTAAGTGTCAGTCAAGTTCGATATCGCAGTTTCATCAGGGGTGATGACTTACGGTGTGATCGAGGAATGGCTTGTCGGTTCCAATACCCGCATTCGTGACACTTTTTAATGAATGTCAGAGTGGCCTAAATGAGACTTGGGAGCTTCTCAACTGACCATCCATCAATATGACCTCCAAGCGCGCCCACACATTTGCCGAAGGCAGTCTCAAGGGATTCTCGTTTCGTTATGTCGCAACTGCATTGAGATTAGTGTTAGCATTTATACTTGTTGAGATGGCACAAGATTCTTTAAAGCAAATTGATGGCGTTTGGACACGTACTTGAAGTAATAGCACCTTCCTGATCTCTCAACGAGCGCTTGACAGTCTGGATGTGGCTCCTTGAGGATATCAAGAATGCCAACGTATCCACCTGCGTCAATGATGGCCGTACACAACGCAAGACCTATACCACGGCCTCCACCTATAATATAGTGAGAAGAGGAGCCTTTGAGAAGGGCCAGTAACGGCAGTAACGGGATTTTCGAGATTTTTAGACGTACCTGTGACGATGATCCTTTTCTCATCAAGAGCAAGCATTGGAGTAATCATTGGAGCAATCATTGTGGTTTCTGTGATTACAATCCCTTCGTCAATACACAGCCCTTTCCTTTCGCATCGGCAACATATATTAAAACCTCAACCGGTGCGCGGGAAACCGATCCCGAGGCAACCGGATCTTGGAAGTTTGGTTCTGTGGTTTTGCATGAACTTGCAGCACGCGGCAGACAGGCCATAAGCGTAGGAGAGGAAGAGTCGGAAGCTTGATAAAATGGCTATATCCGGCCAGACCATGACCCACACTAGGAAAGCAGCGAAAACACTGCTGACAGGACGCATTTAGTGTGCTTTCAGAAGTGTCCTGTGGATATCGTTAGAGAGATGGCGCTATTAGAAAGCCCAATGCGGCTGGGAGGTGCAAGAGTAGCTAAAAAGCTAGGCTTTACGAGTAAAGTTACGCTGCAGCACGTTGGAAGTCGAATGGGACGCGGGGTAGCATCATGTGTCACTGGATCGCGATGGAGGATCGTTACCAGGGCCATCCACCAATGATGTCGTCTCGTTCGGGAAATTGATTCCGTAGGTTAGGGCCAATTTTCAGGGGCAGTATTGCGCTACAGCCATGATATCAACGTGACCTGCGCTAAGAGTGCGGCATTCAGTTTCCTGTCAAGCCAGTAGGATCGTTTTCTGCGTGCTCACAACGCATGGTTCCGTTCGGTGCCTGCTTCAAGGTTTCACCCCGGATTTCCATGCATCGCTCCGAAAGGTGACGGCTATATCCGAATGGCGTCTTTCCCACCTGTGAGGAGAGCGCTGGCTACCGCCTTAATTGGCCTCCCTCCTAGATTCCTCTTTCTTTCTGATCACCCGAGCCCAAATCAGATTGATCACCTTTAATCTTCCCGTTGTCTCTTCATCTGCTTGGTTGCCTTGTACTACTGATAGCAGCTTCAATATGAACGGTACTCTCGTCCAACCGCAGCAAGTCTTGAAACGAGATGCAGACTCGTTCTTGCACAGAACGGTCCAGGATCTGTTCTCCCTCAAAGGACGAACAATAGTCATTACTGGTGGAGCTCGCGGCATTGGGCTATCTTTTGGTTTCGCGGTCGCTGAAGCTGGAGCAAACGTTGCGATCGTGGATTTGTTATCAGAGCCACACGAACACTTTTACAAGCTGGAAAAGGATTATGGAGTAAAGGTGAAACTATATAAGTACTTCACCGAGCGCCGGCTTTACCCCATTCTGCTGAAGTTTATGTTTAATGATAGGAGCGATGTAACCAATCATGCAGTCCTTGGAGCAACGTTCGAAGAGATTGTGAAGGATTTTGGCAGAATTGATGGGCTGTGAGTAAACCTTCCTCATTTATCTTTCGGACACTGTCTGATCCTGAGGTGTGGAAAGTGTCACAGCGGCTGGCATTTGTCCAGATGAGCCGTTCATTGAGCGGAAACCCGAATCGGTTGCACGTTGCATGAACATCAACGTGCTAGGCACCTACTTCGCGGCGCAATTCGCAACAGCATCGATGATCAAACAAGAACCACTAGACGACACGCATCGTGGAGGTTCCATTGTCATGGTTGCTTCAGTTGCGGCCTACGTTGCTAGCAAGGGTCAGACGACCAGCGACTATTGCGCCAGCAAAGGTGCCGTTCTCTCCCTTGCCAAGGCTTTGGGTGTGGAATTGGCCATGAAAGGTGTTCGAGTGAACAGCATCTCGCCGGGGTGAGTGATACGCATCCATTAATGTCTATCCACTTGTTCGAACTCTACAGCTAACGGCTACTAGCTACATGATGACAGATATGACGCTGGATCTCGCGGATAAAAATCCACATCTAGCTGCGATCATGACAAACGAACCTCCAATGCGGCGAATGGGTGATCGTACTGACTTGAAAGGATTGGTCGTCTATTTGCTCTCGGATGCAAGCGCTTATCAAACCTCGGAAGATATCTTGGTCACAGGTGGTATTCATGCTGGGCGTTTGTTGTAAATAATCAACGCAATAAAGATCACATATCAAGAACCATGAACATGGAACTGAAGCAGGGCAAACATCAAAGTGTCGGCGTCGGTTCACGCGCCTCTGAGATCGGATACGAGAATGGAAAGTTCCATGGTCCATTTTCTTACTCTTCGACCAATTGGCTCGACCTTATTGGTTTTGAGGTGCTATAACGTATTAGTTTATTTTAAGGAGATTTCCGCGTAAGCAAATAGATATTATATAAGTTTGCAAGTAAGCGCATTTTATAGTAGAGTCTCTAAAGAAACCTAATATAGATTAACTATGTCTATATTCTTATAAGTCCTTGTATTAATTAAATTAATTAGTATATTCGCTATATATATCTCTGTTACTATATTATAGAGTTACTGCAAAAGTTAGCTTTTACTAGAAAGAATAGATTATAATCTCGCGAGTATTATAGTATAGATAGCTTCTAAAGAAACCTATATCTTAGCGAGATTCTCTCTATCTAGGTTTCGGAAATATACTAGAAGAACTCTAGTAATAGGATTATAAGTAACTAGTATAATATTATACCTTAATCTTTTTAGTTTAATAACTAGTAAATGAAGCTAAATAATAATATCTATATAACTCTCCTATATTTTAAAGGTTTCTAGTTATTAATAATATGTAATTATATTTCTTCTTTTAAGTATTATCTAAGAAGTAAACTTTTTAATCTTAATAAAGTTCTTTACTAAATAATAATACTATTTAACTCTCTTTCTAGAGTATGTAAATTAAATAAGAAATATATTATAATACAGAAAGGCTTAATATAGAGATTTACTTAATAATACTAATAAATAAGCTATTATATAAGACTTAAAAGGTTTTGTAAGCTTAATAGAAAGAAAACTCTTTATATAACCTTAGAATAATAGAAGATCCAAATACTAAGAAATATTAAGTTTAAACTATAATAGATATAGCTATAAGAAAGGTATTTAGAAGTATTTGACTGAGGTAAAAGCATTATGCATACTCTATAGAGTAACAAGCCTTAGAGAGAGAGTAGATAGAGTTTATTTCAAATAGCTACACTTTTAAAACCGATAGTAAGTAATGTAATAGTGCTAGTAATAGGGTTTATACAGATAGTCGCACCTAATAGATGACTATATCTAACCACGAGGCTATTCTCTTAACGTTCAAAGCTATTATTACTACAGGAACATATCGACTACGCGATAGTGCATTATATGTATCAAAGCTAGTACGCAAGATCAAGGTCAATTCTTCTATTTCCTATCTTGTATAGTATTAGCAGTCAAGACAAGGACGGGTGCGAGGTTATCTTCCTCTATAGTATCGAATTCTAAGCTACAGATTTATTCGTAAAGAGCACAACGCCTGATACGTTGCAATCCCGACACCGGCCCTTCGATATTCGGACAGCCATCACCTGTTTGCTTGATCACTAGCTGGAGAGATCGTTGATTGTAGCCGTGACGTGCATAGTCGCATGATCAGCCACCGCCTTGACGACAATGTCGAAACCAATATCCTTGTCAAAGGTGTAAGGATCGGATCTGTGTTCACCATCCCAGTCGCCATTCATCACGGTCTTGACCTGATAGTAGGGGGACGTCCCAATGTCCAATATCTGGAGAGGGATGTGAATCTGGATGCCGAAGCACTTGCCGCTTGGGGCTTGCCAGATGACCTGGCCGTCCGCGTAGCCCTCTGTGCCTCCTGCGCCGAGGGACTTGATTGCCTGGTCCCATGCAAGGACTTCCTGACCGTTGCCGCCTAGCAGCTTCTCGTTGGGCTGAGTGTTGATCGTGAAGGCCATGTCGGATGGTGCCTCCCAATGAGCTCGGGTCCATGCAGTCGTACTGCGGTTGACGGTGGTGATGCTATAGCTTCCAGTCATCGTGGATGGGTTTCAGTGAGGGTAAAGATTGAATGTGAGTGTTCGTGTACTAACTTCAGTGCTGATCGCAAGAACGAAATATTTTTGAAGATAGCGACTGCTCTTAAGGTGGGACCCGGGCCTTATATGCTCGATAATTCTCACTTACTAGCTTCAACTATCTCGCATCGAGACGGTTAAAACCCACAAAAATGGCCCCCAGAAGTTCAATCGCCAGCTGATTGATAGAGCTGAAAGCCAGGTCGGATTTGGTCGGGCCTAGATTTTGGTTGCTTGGCTGTGAGTGTGCCATTTTCATTGTCTCGCTTATGCAGAAGACGACATACATGAAATTCCATGCAGTGTGTCACACGACCTTGTAATGCTCAACACGAAGCTTTGAGTTTCTAGGTTTGCGAGTCACAGCTTGAAGAGCTTCGGAATACCCGAAAGAAGAACCTAGTTCTTAGTCCCCACTTGGCACGCTAAAAGCCCTATGCATGCAACCAACATACTACAGGATGCAGTGTGTTACAAGCAGCTCAGCCGCACCATGCAGTAATCCGGTATTACTATGCTTGAGCGAAAATCATCAGCTAAGCCAAGGCATGCATTCAAGGTGTGCTACCAAGCCCAGCTGCGTCCCTCAGCTAAGCCATGACATGCAGCTCAGCCAGACGTGCAGTTCAGCTGTGCTAGCAATATGCAAGGCGATATTCTGGGTCTCCACGTGCAGACATAGCGTTCCGATGAAATTTCGATTGTCCAAAAAGGGAGCCGAGTCTTTCGCCCCGTTCAACTTTTGACCACAAATCATTTGTCACACTCGAAAGCTTAGAAGATACTTTGATTCTATCACGATCAAAAACATGGCAACGGCAGTGGCAGAAGTTTTCGTCGAGTTGGTCGCACTCATCAGTGAAGCAGACCTTGAAGCTGCGGCATCAACCGCTTTAGTAGATGATGCGGGCGAAGAACTCATTGCTGGAGGCGCTGGACTTTTGACTGGTACGACCGCAGAAGGAGAAATCATCTTGGAACCCATTTTCGAAGAGGCCGGGAGCGCAGCTACTACAACAGATCTAGTGGGCTCCGCCGACCTAGCGAATTTGAGCAAAGGACAACTCCACGCGCTCTGGCAAGACGCAAAGACCTTCGCGCGCTGGACTGGTCGCGAGATTATGAAAGGAGCATTGTTCCAGGTTGGACTCGAGGCCGTGGTGGCTCTAATAGCGAAGAACCCATCTCCCGGGCCAGATACTTCTGACCTCGTACAAGCTATTGGCGCAGTGGGAGCCTCCTTGAAGATACTTAAAGAAGTCTCAACCGAGTGGCGAAGATGGTGCATCAAGAACTTCTCGAAACGCGAGGAATTCGGCCAGGTCAGGGCTGAGGATAACCTCATTCTGCGATTCGAAATCTTCCGTAACAAGTTGGGTGATGTGAGCTCCTACATGCAGAAGACTTTGGCTCCCCTCCTCGCTCAGGTCAACAAGAACACCGACAGTGCCAATATTGGTGGGCTAAAGGGCGCAATGAGAACGTATGCGGACATGATCTTGGCGGTTAGCAAGGGTATCAAAGAGAAGGAGGCATTGATGATGCATGCTGGACTGAAAGATCATCATGATGAGCTTCAAAAAGCTCGTGATGTCTTGAATTGAGGGACCACACTCCCATGAGACCCATCGATCCGGTAGTAAAATCCGTAGTAGAGACAAACACGGTACGGTGCTCATCAAAACCCTAAAGCTTTACTCCCTAGTGCTCTTCATACTGCACTTAGCTCGGCACAGTAGCCATGGCGATGGCTCGTTTGAAGACCGTGTTGATAGGGATGATGCCACGGTGTTGCATGCGATGACTTCCGGATAATCAACAAGCTCCCAATTTCGTATTACCTTCTTGGGCTGTCAGCATTAGATGGCAATCCAAGGGAAGGGCTAGCGAAGCTGCGAAGTTGAGTGTCAAATGCATGAGACTTGCGTATACGGTCATGCACGTACGACTGCGCATTGAAACTTCAGCTGATGCATCTCGCACATCATGCCCAGAGAACGCTATTGACAGTGGATGTGCTGACCGCTGCAGTTCAGCTCTTGTGGTCTAAATGCACCACTTGCATTTCGGTCTCCCCTTTCCGGTTTCGCGTGCGGGTGGAGCGGCTGCATGGAGTCTGCAACAAAACCTACCACGTGAATCTGTTCATCAATTTGCAAAGACGAGCTTACCGAGCAAGAGGATGGAATGCTTTGCAAGATTCAACAGCTTCGCCGCCGGGGGGTATTTAACCCACTCTGTGCTTCTTTCGAAGCTGTCATCACAAATCATTCCAAAAAAGACTTCTATCTGCAAATACTTCAATCACATTTGCTCAGCGTTCGGAAACGACCTTCCACAACCATGCCTACCATCTCCGAAATAGCAGCTCGATTGGAAGAAGCAAATGCAAGGGCTTTCAACGGGAGACGGCTAGACAGAGCTGCCGCCGAACGTCTAAAGCTCATGGCTGAGGAGGGCAACGTTAGAAACGCTGCCGACGAACTTGAAATTGATCTCAACGAAGGCAATATCGGGCCAGAGGCCGACGAAGTTGCGGGTACCGTCCACCTGGATGCTGAAGGCAGAACGTACGGCATGACCAACGATGAAGCACAAACAATTGCAAAGTTCGAGAAGTCTTGCAAAAAGGTCGAGAAAACCCTCAAGGAGGGGCCACTATGGCGCCCCACCTCCCAAGATTGGTGGGCAAAGATGCGCACTAAGTTGCGTCAGGGCGAATTTCGTGAAGTTAGGGAGGAAATCTATGGCGAGATGCAGAAGTACTCGAAACACACAGTAGCAGGCGAGGTCGACTATGTGCTATCGCTGCAACAGGTCTACGACCGAATCTAGACGCATTACAGAATGTAGATCAGCATCCCCAGTTGCGAACATGTTTTGACAGATCAGTAAAGATTGAGCTTAGTGTACTTAGATGATAGCGCAATGAGAGAATCTATTAGTTTCCGAGTACAGCCGTCATCGCCGTCTGCCACCCTTGTTGCATGGACATTGCCCATCTAAAGACGCGATTTCAGATGGAAGGAAGTCGGTTAATGATCAGCTAACCGATCCACGTGGGCACTGCAGGTAGAAGGCCGATCGGCAGGAATACTTAGGTACGGTCTCACTAAAAAGGTGCCGGGCCGCATAAGTTAATTGATCCTTCATGCAGCTCGACCGTACTTCGCAGCTTGGCCTTGTTTTCCAGCTACGCCACGGCATGCAGCTTAGTAGAGTACATACATTGTAACTTCGGTTTAAGCATGGACCTCCGTGGGGCCGAAAGTTTGCTTAACGCGGCGAGATTACTTAAGTCGAGGCTTGCTTAAACCGGAGTTACACTATATAGGGTAAGGCAGGCCGTTTGACCCACTCCATCCTTTGGACTAGCCAATAATATATTAGCTGCGTTCTTCGACTCCGCCATCTTATGCAGATTAGCCGACTGTATAGCTTGACTTGGTTTCTCAGCTTAGCCATGCCATGCGGACGGACCGAGCGCACAGTGCAGCTGAACTTTTCAGCTCAGCCATGTTATGCAGCCCAGCAGATTGTGCAGTTCAGCCGTCTCCCCCATTCTGACCATGCCACGTAGCCTAGCCAATTACACCACCTAATACGGCTGGACCATACGGCCTAGTCGTGGAATACAGACTTGTTGTCAACACGAATCAACCACATCACGCAATTCAAGCAATGATACAGGTCGAGTGCATTCTTCAGCTCAGCCATCTCATGTAGCTAGGCCGACAATCGAGCTTGGCCGTCTTCCTCAGCTTAGCTACGACACGCAAGCCGACCAAACAGGGAGCACAAGCGACCCTTCTAGCACGGTCACAATCTATGGCCTTGCCGACAGAATGGATCTACCATTTGCTTCAGCTCAACCATACCATGCAGTTTAGCCAACCACACCGCCTGATCAGACCTTGCACATTGCACTTGGTTCAGAAGAGATTCGCCTGCAGGTCCGTATCCAGGTATTTTCTAAACAACTACCTGTAGCTTCGCGAGCCGAACTGCGAATGATTAGCAGATCGAAACCTGGACAGCTGTGCGTCTTAGTCTGATGCGGGCATTTCCATTTGAGTTCGTTCTTGCAGCAGCTGGATGCGATCCGGATCAATTCGGGTGATGATTACTTATGATGCTTTAAGCTGGGGTTTAGCAATGTTTCCAAGTACATAAACCTCACTTACCGGCTGTTTCGACAGTAGTCAAGTCAAGTAGCCTGCCTCTAAACAGCAACCCTTGAGCTTTATTGCTGTACTACACTCAGATCTACGATCAAGATTCGCCTTCGTATTTGATTTTGATAACAACAAGGATGAGCACTGGAGCCATCAAAGAGCTTGTGGAGGCGGCGGGCAAAGAGGGCTCCGCCGAAGGTGTCGCCTTGGGCGGGGAAGTTGGTGAAGCTGCCATGAATGAAGCCAGACTATTGGAGGAAGTTAAGCAACTGGCCATCAAAGAAACCCCCGAATCACTTGCCAAAAGCGCGGAAGCCGACGTAGCTGCATCCCTGGAAGAAGGCAGTGAGATGGTGATGGCGGAGGCCAAAGCCGGCGGCACATTTGCCTCGCTGAGAAAGAAGCTTACGCAACTTGGCAAGTACATGTGGGATAACAAGAGTGCATTCGCAAAATTGATGGGCGCAGAAGTGGCCAAAGGCGCTTTCTTCACGCTTGGTATGATCGCAGTGGAAAAGATCTTCGCTGCGAAGCAGCAGAAGAACGAGACGCCCGAGGGCCAATACCGACTTGACATTGTTCGAGCAATCAACAAGGAGAGGGCGATCACCAATCCTATCATTAAAGAATGGCGAACTTGGCTGGCGGATCACTTTGACGACCGAGCACAATTCGGGACGCTCAACGTAGAGGGCGACGATGTCCAGAGATTCCAGCTCCTTCAAAACAAGATCTCGACTGCCCAGCATTTCTTGGACGATACTGTGGCGAAGGCATCGGAGACCCTGAAGACAGTCAACGACAAAGAAAGTGCGAAAGATCTCTTGACCCAAGAAATCGGATGGGTAAACAAACTTAAGGCCATTAGTGACAGTATCAAGTCGAGGGAGTCTATGGTCGCGGCTGGTCTGAAGGACAATGGAGATCAGATAGACAAAGCCAAGACGCTCTTGGACGATGTCAATAAGTAAAGAGCCCAGCTTGCCCAAGGTTCAGTTGAGAGCAGAAGGAGAAATGTGAGAAGGTTCGAATAATGTCGATAGATGAATGACCTTGTTGTGAGGAATACATGTTATGACTTCCACAAGCTCAAATCGTGCATCTGCTGCAAACTCCTTCGAAACCGTAGAGAAAGTGTTTTGATGCCCTCGCTCTCTGATCCACTATTCCAAACCCCAGCCTGAAAGCTGAGGTTCATTAAACAGACGCCGCTTCGACATCACCCTGGTCAAATCCTTCGCACTATAGAGCATGTATCACCAAAGATGCCGATAACATGTTACTTTCTATGCATATATGTTGTGGAGCGGAAGGATAACGGTGCACCAATAATGGACGAGTCGGCGATGGCGGCGTTTATTAAAGGGGAGGGCTGCCGGCGAGCGGTAATGAGCGGGTATCTGGATGGGGAAGAGACGGAATGCTCGCTTATGGACGGGGCGCTCTGCGATAGATGTGGGGAAGGGGTGAGGGAGTGGCAGAAGTCACAGCTGGAGGCGGAGGACGAATGGCAGTAGGTACGGGAGGTGCTGGACGAGCTGGCGGACGGATACTAGATCACGCAGGAAGGGGAAATGGCGCACCTATACTCGCTGAAGAGCTGTTAGAGAGTTACGGAGCTGATATAGGCAGCTTGCAACGAGTTCTAACGGTGTACGATGTAAGGGGTCACAGCTGTACAAAGTGCGGGATAAGTCAGAGGCTCTGCGCGACGGGGGTAGGAGAAGAAATGCGGTGTCAGTAGCCGATCGTGCTAGTGCCGGTGGTCCTATGGGTGCAAGGGCTCTATTGGTAGTAGCAGGGCTAATTGCGTTGTGCTTGCACGAGGCTCTGAATACATGGAGCGCGCGGTGCTTGCAGTGCTTGCGTGTTGCAACCGGCGCGGAACAATGAGAGAGGTCAGGCAGCCTGGGGCAAGGCTCACGCGGAAAAGTGACGGCCACGCCAAATGGCCAAAGACAGCCCGCCTTGCATCGTCGAGTGTTGGTAGACTCAATATAGTCTTTGCTTGGCCACGGCTTTTCTGTGTGAGCCTTGGGGCATTAGGGCAGCACGTGGGATCCAAACAACCCAGCAATCAAGCCGGCCAAATCCATGACTCGGTTCGGAAGTGACGAGTACGGAGGACTAAGATTAGGTGAGTCATTCAATCCGTCCAAACCCCGTGACCCCATCGTCAAGCCTCGCGATCGCAACAATGCCAAAGCCCAAACAAACAAGTCCCAAGTCCTTCGTCGACCTGCCCTGCCCCAACTCGCACTCGAAGCCATGCGACACCGTCTTAGGGAATCATTCAGACGTATCCCGGCAATTGATGCAGGATGAAGAGAAAACCCTCCACCGACGAGGCTAGTATTGTCTCTCAACTACGCCAACGGCCATCCGATGGAGACCGCAGACAGGTGAAGCGCCGCAAGGCGACCCCGCCCTTATCACAGCCATCCTTTCCCCAACAGCATGTCAAGACTGGGGAGACAGCGTCTCTAGTCAATTCGATAGAAGACTGGCTCAACAGCATATCCGAAAACTCCATAGGCCTCGACGACGCGGCGCAGATGGCGACTGTATCGGATGCCGCAAGCACGTCCACACGACCGCTGCGATCCTCTGCGACCAGCCGATCTCGCTCGTCAAGCCCATCAAAGCTGACGTCGCAGAACTATCGGGCGCAGGTGCTAAAGCGCGTGGATATTCACGTCGACGTCGACGTTCCCGATGCCACAAGGGAACAGCTGTTGCCGCCAGCGCCGGCTGCCGCCCTGAGCAATGACGCAATACAGTCAGTTGCGGGAGAATTGTACAAAGGAGCCCGGGAGCTCTTGGAGCGGCAGACTGCCAATGAGGCCGAATGGGTGGGACTATTGAATACTGCTATCCATGGCCTCATGCGCGAAATACCCGATCAGCTTTGCTGCTTGCCGAATAGAGGTTTGCGAAGAAGCGCTCGATACCTGCTAGTGGAACACTGTTAACTGGACTCGACAGACTGGCAGGCTGCTCTCAAACCAGTTGCATATTTCCACAACTTTGCCTCAGTCCTCCCTCGAAAACGACCGACCTCGACCTCCTCACCGGCGAACATTCTACACCCTGGGCATCCAGATTATCCGTCTCCAGACCAGTCGACGACCACGACATTCGCTAATCAACCGCACATGCCGCCGCCAGCACAAAAGCTTCAATTGGAGCCAGCGCCCGCACGTCTGCAACCCAGAACGCCACGCCCAGACTTATGCGTCGGGCTCAGCGACAGCGACGCATCTTGGGACAAAGACCATGAATTCTGGGTGAGCGCAGGCCTTCGAGGTAAGGACATCAAGGACATCCTCGTTGATCTTCAAGCCGCCGCAGGCAGCGACGCCGAAGTCATGGGGACACTCATCAGCGATCCTTGCACGGCATCACCAAGCGGCATGCGCTTCCCCTTCCTTGTCGTCGAGGTCAAATCCGGCGGCAGCGCCAGCATCGCCGACGCGGAGAACCAATCCGCAGTATCCGGCGAATGTGCTTTAGGTATTCTGCGCGCTCTCGCCACAGAGGAGCGCAGACCCTTAGTAGAACGAGCACCCGCAGGTACTAACAACGCCGCCGACACATTGGAGAGCCGTTCGCAGTCGAGATCGCCTCTTTCAAACACTTCGAGTTTCAGACTGCGCACATTTTCGCTCACAACCGAGGGGCCCGCCCACGTCCTTTGGGCGCATCATCCGGAGCCAACAGGCTCGTCCATGGTGTGGCTTGGTGCGTACCGCGTCACGAATGGGAACTCGGCCGCGCAACTGGTGAGGATGCTCGCCAACGTTCTGGTATGGGGAGCCACGGACCTGAAGCGATGGGTAAGGGAGGGAATTGCGACGTACTTGACAGTTCCTTGATCGAATTGAGTCAACGCAAGGCGCGAAGCGCTTATTCGTATCTTCATTCTAAGCTTATGCTTTGGTGAGCTAAGCGCGGGCCAGAAAGCAAGCCAACGTCGTATAAATGGGACAAGTCGCATTCTTCCGCTAAGCTCCCCGTTCGAGGCCTTCAAACTTCAGCACCGTCTGGAACTCTGAACCGTCTCCAACAGTCGACGGCTCTGAAGCCCTCGAAGCTCGCTTGTGCCTAATAGAAAGACGTTGGGTGGAATCGCTTCGACGATTTGTGCGTTCAGACATTGCTTGTTGGATACCACTAGTCTCGCGAGATTCTCGCTAGGACAATTAGATTCTGTACATATTATTATAGACGTGTCAACGTTCTGTGCATGGAATGCTCGCAGTACTGTTGTCGCATGCGAAATGGAAGCAACGCCTCGATCTCAGCCACTGTGACGCTCCGGCGCCGACCGATAAGTAAAGGCGACTCGCCCGCAGCGACATTATGTACCAGGACAGCCGTGCATCACGCTTACTCGAGTAGCGACTCCGCTCGCATCAAGGGCTTCCTCGACAAAGAGTTCCAGGCACAAGACCTCGAGGCGACAGCAGACCGGCTATGGGTCACGTCGATCTAGTTAAGTGCCAACATTAGCCCTTTGCACAGGTAGAAAGTCAAGGGACACGAGGCTCGTAGTCACCGAAGATCCTCGCCTACACCTGGTTTGGATCTCTGATCGCGTATTCATTAAGCTTGTTCCAAGGTACCTGCTATCGTGTGCATTCTAGCATAGCTTGTCACAACACAGCTTATCATAACACAACTCTCATAACACAACTCTGGCAGCACAACTCTCCCAACACAACTCTTGCAACACAACTTCCATAACACAACTTCCATAGCACAATTCATTATAACACAACATGCTATAACATAACTTGTCACAACACAACCTATCATAACACAATTTACCAAGTGTTCCTGCTCGATAAGTCATCTCTACTCGGCGGTCGTCAGGATACTGTGCGAAGGGCGGCGCCGGGTTACCTGCGGACGTACCGCCATCTGATCCAGCACGAGTCGAATTATATCATCGCCAAGCAGGACCACCTCCGCCTTGCCCCCAGCAACGTGGAGTGGCCAGAATTCTGCCGCTTTATCTCTGACCTTGATCGCATCCATGACGGCGAGGTGTCGGGCAGATACTACTACGGAGAGCTGAGGCTGTCGCACCTCAAGCTCTACGCGCCATTGTTGCTCAGCAAGTTCCACTTCAAGCAGGTGCTGCATCGGCCTCCAATTTCACCAACACGGAGCTGTTCGACTGGGCGGTCGGCCGCACCGCGATCACGTACTTCCAGGCCTTCCAGTTTGCGTTCCGCATAGCTAAGCGCGCTGAGCGCTGCATGCAGTCGAGCTCAGTCACTTCCCCGCCACCCCATGCGGTAACCTTATCACCCCCGAGCACAACCAGCTATCACAGCCAACGATTGAAGCCGCTATGTGCCAGCAACACTGGCTACGCCGGAAGCTGGTCCCTGAGTAGCGCGCGCGGTGCTGGCGACGTCATACATCATGACCGGTAGCAAGGGAGCATAATGGGAGCTTAGCGGACACAATGGGAGCTTGATGGACACAATTGGCAGCGAGGGAGGCTTCAAGGGGCAAGATCTTGTGTAATCTACCTAAGAAAACGCTGCCAAAAATAATGACACCATGCCAAGACATTTTAGCTCTATCAAAGTCCATCCAGCCTCGTCGGTCCGTCCTCAAGCTCGCCGGAGCCTAGTCCGTCCGTCCGGCGGCGCGCCCTTACCCCTTCGGACCGTCTGAAAGCCTCCGACGAGGACAGACCGACTAATGGATACCCTGCTCGCCAGGCTCGACCCCATCGCTCTGCTAAGTCTGCTTACGCTTCGGACCTTGGGGAAATGTACCTTCTCCATGCCCGAGGCCATCTTCGGCCTCGACCACCTAAGGCACTACTTCAGTCGCATAAAGAGCGTCGCCATCTCCATCCCTTGCCTAGTAGGCCCTTTCACGCCTGTCTCCGCCGCTCTCCGCCCCCTCTCGAGCCGGTATCAAGCCAAGCCTACCCGCATCAATGCGCACCCGAAGAACCCGCCCGGCGGTGACGACCGGCTCGTGTACAATGTGGTACCGCCCTTGGTGATCACCGTGGGCATCTTCGGGGCCAAATGATAATAGGGCACTGGACATGCATCACGACGGCCCCCGATATCTCCCGTTCAAGCACGCCGGCGTGCTCGGCATGTATTCGCTGGAGCTTCCGCCCGTGCAGTAGTTTGAGTACGGCGCCGCGGCGGACGCTATCCTGACTATATCGTACACGGCCCGAGACCATGGCAGCGGCCTCCGCACGGCAGCAACGCCAGCACCGGTCGGAGAGACGAGCATGGTTGCGCTGCGGACCGCGTCCCCCATCGAGTGGAACGCACTCAAGGCAGGTCGGGCGGCGGAGCCAGTGCTCGTTCGTGATAAGAAGCTACCGCAATAGGCGATCACGCAGAGACGGACGGTGGGGACCGGGGAGACGGCGCGGTGTGCCGTGCCTGCCGAAGGAGGTGATCTTGTAGGTCTGTTGATTAGTATTGCGCAGATGAACGTGACGTTCTAGAAGGCGGGGGCGGGTGAAGAGTACTAGAAGGGCAGTCTACCGGGTGGCAAGGTGAAGTACGAAGAGAAGGTAAAGATGGAGTAGAAGGATGCGAGTCTGAAGTTAGGACTTGGCTATGAAAAGCATGTTCGAGCGCTGTCCTCTGCGTTCACGTAGCATTGCTTGCTGTTTGTCATATTCTAGACATGTATGGGATGTTTCTAGAATCGATCATTTCATTTTTCCGGACTTGCTTTGTCTCACTAATCTCAACACCTGAAATAGCCCCTCTCTCCTTTGCAAAGATACTCCGATCTTAATTATCACCGTGATACCCATCTGCACGACAATCAACACCAGCATTTCAGAACACTATGCACACACATTACACTCGATCAAAAGCAAAACTTGAGGCACTGGAAGGAGCACTAGGTACTGCCTATCCCGTTCCATCCACGCTCCTCTACCAATATGCTCATGCCCTACAAGGAGAAAACAGCGAAGCAACATCACCAGCACCGCGCCAGACGCACTCATCACACCTATCGGTGCCGCAAGTCCCGACACCTGCCCGAAGTCTATCGCCGAAACATGGCACTCGACGTCCTCGCGCTCTAACACCTAATTTACCGAAACAGGGCGCGCTTGATGAAGGCGCATTCAGCGGTCAACTCGCGGAGGTCGCTGGTCAACACGCTGGTAAGAAAGTCTCGCGTGGTTTATGAAGAACGACTTCTCCCTATTTCCAAGGCCTTTGCTAACGTATCACCGCGCTTTCTACAGGAACGAGGAGCAATTCCCGTCTTAGCTCTCAGCCGCCTCAAAAGGTCATCCCAGCGAACCAAGAGGAGGTGGCATCCACACAGTGCACAAGGTTGGCAGACGTGGTAGAGCCGAAGGAAGCGGGGAATCCCCCGTATCCCGCCTCGGCTTTGTTATTCGATCCAATTTCCTTACTGTTGTACTTTGTCATTCTTGGCAGCTTGCTTTTCACGTACTCTGCGGACTAAGGACGTCGGGGGATAGCTAGTGGAAGTGCCGAAGCGTCGGAAATGGTGCGTAGAAGGACGTTTGTTCGCTTTTTGTTCGTCTGGGATTGCTAGGGTCCTGAACGTGGGTGCACGAATAGACAGTGATGTTAAACTACTCAATCAATCCACAAGTTCAAGCAATTGCTACAGGTTTTGATGACTGAATTGTCGCATAGAAGAAAGGGATAGCACATCTGACAATTGAAAGCACAGAAGTGAAAATGAAACATTCTTGAGCGGAATCGAAACCCTCCTCCCTATCACTATCCACTACGACCATTTGCGCAAGCATTCGCCTGACATCGTTCAATCTCTTCGATAGCCTAGCGGGCTTAGGCTTCTAAGTAAAGGCGACAGGAACAGCCCGCTGGTGGAACTGCTACTAACTTATTATAGGAAAGGCGCATCGGCTGGCGCGCTTCCTCATAATAGGGGGCGTCTCCTCAACCTTAAGGGGCGTCTCCTTAACAGTCGTCCGCTGAGGCTCACGTGTCCGGTTGATGGGTTCCTAAAGCAAGCTTTTCATACTCGCTATGGCGCGGTTTGACTCATGGAGCATCTCACGCATCACAAGAAGGTTGCGAACGTGTTCCTCTCTCTTTCTCTGGAGCTGACGTATCTGTTCGGCTTGCTCCTGACCAAGGTGCTGGGCCTCCTTAAGTGAGCGCTCCGCCAACCGTTGTTGCCGAACGGCTGTTGTGGTAAGGCCAATACAGAAGATAAACAAGACGACCGCAGTAAGGAGGATGCAGCTAGTGAGAAGTCTAGTAGTCGGGTTCGCATCTTGGGTAAAGGCGACCGTCCACGGCGCCAATGCCTAGCTAATAGTTTAGAATGGTGTGGGATAGGATTCCGCCGTCGCGTGACTCACCTTATGGATGATTGCTATGATGTTACCGATGCCGATAGAGATCGGGACAAGCGCCATGAAGACCAGGGCCACCATGAGCTTTGTCGTATGCATGGTTGGTCGGAGGCGAGGAAGCTAATTTTGGAAGGGTTGACTGATTGAAGATAGGTGTAATCGGAGACGGGTGGATGGACTAAAGACGGGAATACCAATTGCGAAGGTGTGCTAAGGAAACGTCTGTACGGGATTAGGATAGCTTTTTGTATTGTAGAGATGAAGCTTGGACGATACTGTCTCCGTTTTGGGTTGGTAAAGTTTCAGGAGCGCTTCCGTTTGAACAAAGAGATGGATATTGGCGGATCGGAGATGATATCCGACGGATCCCTAACTGGAACATTTCGCGTTTGTCTATTCCGCAGGCGTCGGACCCCGACGTTGATCTTGACGCCGATACGTCTCCGTGGCTTGTCGGTCTCTCGAGCGGGAATCCTTAGGCATCGGACAGTAATGCTGGCACAAGATTCTAGAAGAGCTATCTGAAGTGGCGCGGGTATTCCAAGCACCGCGCTTTACTAGACCCCGGTGAAATCCTTCCATCTATTTAGCATGCCGAAGCACATTCATGAGGCCATATTGCTATTATATATAAAGTTCCCCTTAATGTTCCGATCGTTCGACACTAGGGACGTGCCAGGCCGGGAATGCTTAGCACGATTTTCAACGGGAGCAATATCGAGTATGTTTATGATCGACTGCAGCTACAACCTCTAGTATGCTCTTGAGTGACCAACAGCGCCACAGTAGAGGCGCTGTCTACCTACGTTCTCCGGCACCTTGATCCATCAAACCCTCTGCATGCGTGTCTGCCTCCTATTCTTCCCATCCATTCTCGCCAACCGTTGTCTCGTCATTGCTTCCTCGGTTGATTTGGGTGCGCAGAACGAGGCTAGCCGTGGTGCTGAAGCGAGATACGATAGGCCGCTGATCTGGAGCGTAGAAGGAGATTAGCCTGTTGTTCCGCCTGGTGAGCTGAACTGGTGAGCTGAGGCGACAGTGTTGTAAAAGCTGCAAAGTCTCTTCGGCGACGGTCGATCCGTGAAGTAGTGTTTACACAAGCATGGCGCTTTGCTTTCGCTGGATGAGCTCGAGCGACTCGACGGCCTCGGCGGCGATATTCGAACTGGTAATTGCCGATCCATCCATCCATCCGGGCAGCAGCCTTTGCACGACTTTAGTGCTTTGCTTTCAGAAGCTTGTGCAATCTCTTCGGCGGGCGGAGTGCGGCGGCTTCGCGTTGACGGCCGCAGCGGATGGAGAGGCAAGCTTCGCAAGCTTCGCACGGCTTGCTGCTTTCTTCGCCAACGGTTATGGCTGTGGCCGTTGAGAGAGTAATACAATAAGCTGGGTATCAAGTGCAGAAGATTTCAGAATGCCGGTGAAGCGTGGCGATGCTGGCATTATTGTGGTTTTGGAGTCGGGCACGTCGGGCCATTCCTGGCCACGACGTTGGCATGAGGATGGCGAGTGGGCCCAGAAAGGCGCCAACCCAACACAACTGCCCAGCACAACACAACTGCCGAACACAACACAACTGCCCGACCGGAGCCCGTGGCTTCGTTCTCCTTCCACAGGGAGGGAGCAGATTACCAGCTTGGAGTGGCATCCCACGGAAGACAGCATCGTGCTGGTCGGCGTAGGGGATAGTACGCCAACGCTGTGGGATCTCGCCGCAGTGGAGCTGGGTGATGGGGAGAGCAGGGACATGGCGGGCGTCAAGGACATGGCGCCGCAGCTTCTGTTCGTGCATCATGGAGATGGTTAAGGAGGGGCATCAGCATCCGCAGATATCGGGGGCGGTCATGGCGACGGGGGAAAGTGGGTGAGGTAAGTTGGTTCCGTGTCCTGGAGATTGTTGCATAATCACTTAAGTGTGTTGCACGCACAAGCATGTTGGTCTGACGATGCGACTTTGTGGGAACATCTATGGGCGAGAGCTGTGGCTTGTCTTGTCTTGTAAGACTTCGAATATCGGCAAGCAGCGAGCATACATGCCTGCTCTCATCTCCAAGATCCCTCCACAATCAGGATGGTGAGCTTGTACGAGTAGATATGCGTCTCGGTCCACCAACGCCCCGCCGAACCCCAAGCCCACCCCACCCCACCCCACCCCACCCCGAAGCTCCAAGTCCCTACATCTCGTGCCTGAACATGCGATTCTGATGCATGCGGTAATCTCAGTGCAGCCAGGAGAAGACCCTGCCTCGGTACAGTTCCGTGATTTGCTGGGACAACTGATGACATCTTTCCATGGACGAATCCCGCTCCGCTGCCGTGCGGGTAAGGATCCGGTGGACCGCGTCTAGTTCGCCTTGGATTGTCCGCTGCAGTGCTTTCTCCTGGGCGACCGCTCGTTCAACAGCCTCTTGAACAGCTTGCTTGTGGGACCTGCGGAGTTTCCTCATCTCCTCATCGTGCTCTTGTTGCATCTCCTTGATGGCTTGTTCGTAACGGGGGCTCATGGCGGCGATAAGCTCCTTGGGGATGCGTTGAAGATATGGAAGTGAACTTAAGTCTATGCTAACAACAAGCTTGTTGGAAATGCGCCAAAAGAGAAGATGGTAGTGACAGCAGCGAGGTGATACTACTTGTAGCCCTCTTGACCATCAAACACCGACAACACGAAACAAAACTGAATGAAAGGAAAATCCGCCTTCCTTTGTGTTCCAAGGAGCTACGTGAGGAGAAAGTGTGTCCAGCTGCATGAGGTAGTTCCAGCTGCATGAGACGTGTCCAACTACATGAGACATGTCCAGCTGCATGGGAAGCGTGCATGCGGCATACGCCCAGCTCCAGCAAGACCTAGCTCGGATCATGGGAGCCTTCCACGCCTAACCGATTCTCAAGCTGACAAACCCCTCCCAGACCTTGACTATGGCGTCGGCCGCCCGAAAGTCACCACTCCTCACGCCCTCTCTTAGCTTCTTTGTCTGGACTTTGACCCTCGCGGCATCCTCCCAGTAATCCTCCACCAACCTGACCATGTCGCTCGCCTCCACCGCAGCTGACCTCGTGGTTTCGTGAACCATCTCCAGTGTTCGAAGTCTCTGAACCGCCTGCCTTAATGGAGTGTCGGTGTCGGTAAAAACGGTCCACAAAGGATTACCGTGCCTCGACTCGGCTTTCTTCAGATCGCGCCTCATAATAGGCTCGTCCGCGACTGCGACCATGTGCATCTGGTCCAGCAGGGCCCTTAGGTTCTGCAACCCCTTGACCACGTCCTCTTCGATGTCGGCCACCCTCGTACCCGCCGCCTCTTGCGCCCACTGCAGCACCCGATCCGCCCTGTCTGCTTCTTGCTCCACTGGTTCTTGGTCAATCGTGTCGCTGGCGGCCAAGGTTCTTAGATGGCGCCACAGGCCTCGGAAGAGCTGTTTCGATATCCGGATACCCTGCTTCTCAACGCGTCGTAGCTGCTCAACCGGATATGCCTGCTTCGCCCAATAGAACAGCTTCTCCACCGGGTCTGCTTCCTTCTCCGCTGGTTCCTGAGGAAATGTGTCGCCGGTAGGCACTCTTCTCGTGCTTGGCTGGTTAGGCAGGCCTTGGGTAAGCAGTTCCAGCTTCGTAATGACCTCATAATGGGTTAACTCGAAGCGGTGGGTGGATCTCACAAGTGTGGCCGCGGAATCCTGTGCGCTCTCGGCGAGGGCGAGAAACTCTGCTTGGCTCGGCAACATGACTTTCTCGTCGCAGGTATCGAATGCTAGAATAACTTCGGTCATCTTGGCGGTAACCTTGCGGCCCTTAGGCTTGAAGTCGCTGAATCGCTCTGCATCCTGGGTCCGGTTAATCGTCTCGCGGTAAGGAAAGGCGAATACTGTGGTGGAGCTTTGGGATCCGGACAAGTACCGCATGACGAACAGCAAGAAGATGAACATGAAGAGAACAACGCGTTTGACCAGCTGTTGATCCCGCCTTGCTCTCTGGAAAAGGTGGTTAACTGCTGCGGGATCCATAGCCAGGTCACCGGTAAAGTACTCCCAAGAGAAGAACACAGCTTGTAGTAATGGATGCAGAAGATGTGAAGGAGCTGGTATGAGTAGGAACTTGGCTTTCCTGTAAGAATGAGAGGGGGAACAGGCGGGCGAACGCGAAGAAACAGATGATTGAGACCCTGCTAGGGGTTAACGCAAGCATCCGCTGCTCGTGCGTCGAGCCGTGATCTGTTTGCTGGCTGGTGTTAGTGCCCATCCCGTTTGTCCGCTGGACGTGATTCATGGAGATACAGTCTTACAGACCAGCTGCAGATCCTGAACATAGAACTAAGACATCATCGAGCGAAGACCAGTTAGTTCAGCCATTACCACTAGTGAATAGATAATTGATAAACTGGATGGCTAAGAAGTGCTAACAAGTGCTTTGACCTCTCCACACTCCTTGAAGCCGAGCAAAAACGGACCGCTAACATGAGGGCGAATAAGCCGCCAGGCGACACACTTTCAACACCCTCCGCCGCAAAATCCCACAAGCCAACACAGCCATCGAAAACCGGGAGAGCCAAGACTTCACTCAAAAGAGACGATACCCCGCAGGTAAGAATTGACTTAAAGTATACTATCGTCACGGGCAAAGCTAACACATTTCACGCAGACTTTAGAGAAAAGGCGATCTAGCTTAAAAGGCTTCCGTCGCAGGTCTAACGCGGATGAAGCCACTGCGCCACTTCATCCGGCATCACCTGTGGGCTTGCTTCCGCAAGGAGATGCGGTGCAGATCACGGTACAAAATGATACCGTACCAGAAGGACTTCAAGAGGAGGTTGAAGCAGGGTCGTCGGTTTCCATGAAGGCCACAACAACAGCCACCACAGAGCTTGAAGCGGGCGCTCGTTCTGCTACGGCTGTTCAGGAAGAGCTGCTGGACCGGAAGGCGGTGGACGCCTCTTCTCAGACTCTTATGGACCGCCGCCAGAAGGATCCTCGCGATAACGAGACTAAACTTCAAGATCGAATTGCAACCCTCAAGGCACAGGTATCAGACCTAAGCGATTGGCTTGAAGATAGCGAGCGTACCAGTAAGCGTAAGGAGGCGAAGTTCTGTGCGAATATCAAATCACTCCAGGCCGGACTTAATCAAAAGAACTCGACCATCCGCGAGCTCGAAGAAGAGCAAGAGCAATTGTGGTCCCAGCAGGAAGCGTGGTACGAACAAATGGAGTGTAAGTACGACGCGGAGATTCAGGAACTACAGTCCAAGCACGAAGCGAAGATTCAGCAACTGCAGTCCAAGCACGAAGCGGAGGATGAGCGACGAACGTCAGAATTCAATGCGGAGGTTGAGCGCTCCGCGCTGGTAACACACGAACGGGAGCTCCGTCGGGTCGCCGAAGAAACGACACGTGATGCACTCTCTTCGCTGCGCATCAACGCGGGGCACGCAAAGGAGAATGACACACTAAAAGCAGAGAAGAAACAGCTTCAGGCAGATTTTGAGGCAGCCCGAAAAACGTACGCACGAGTGCGCGGCGAGAGCTTCCGGCAACAGCAAAGTCAAGAGGCGCTAATAGAGTACATGATCGCAAAGATTGACGGCCTTCAAGCGGCAGCCATGGATCAAGTAACTAGTCGAGAAACTATAGAAAGGGAGTTCGTGAAGGCCTATCAGCTTGTCCAACAGAAGGGCAGGCTGGTCGACGAGTTAGAGGAGGAGTTAAAGAAACAGGCCAAAACACACAGCACGGAGATGCAAACACTGGACAGGTCTTGTTGGAGAATGATACAACACTGTGAGCAGATATTATCGGACCACAAGGATGAGCGAAGAAGACCGCCGTTACGGTCTGACGAAACGGTGCTCGCTAAGCCGAACCCGAGGGGTAGCGCTTTAGCGGAGATGAGGTTACGCTACGACGAGGACAGCCAACGAAAGGAGCTTGCTGTGGTACTAAATCAGCAGCCGGGAATCAAGATGGAAACCAGTAAGTTGCTCCCCTTCCTTACCGGCCCGATCAGTTGCTCGGTTGTTGATTTGCTACCAGAGACCGTCACTACTACACAGGACCGGTACCAGTTGTCCTTGTCGTATCCAGCCCCCCTAGCGGACAGCGAGGATTACTGGAATGAGTTGGTGAGGACCTTCGAATGGGTCCTGAAGCCCATCCGGGCCCGGTCGATTCGGACCACTAGCGGGGAAGCTTGCTCACAATATGCCCAAACAAGGGTCGACCTTGCCCAACAGATGCGAAGTACGATCTGGCTAGATGACGGCGGCGAGGAGGCTTAGCAGTGGTGGTATATGAGTGATGTATCTTAGAGGAGGCAAGGTCAACTGTAGCATTAAGTACTGCCTAGGTCTGGTTACACACAGAATGTGCGATACAAGGGTGATACACATTGGATAGTATATCAACGAAAGGCATGAGTTGTTACCCTCTTCCCCTAGCTCTGGGACGCCATTGCACGATGTACGTCTCCACTCCAGCGCCTCTCGTGTCCTACTTCCATCGCATGCCCTCGGCAGCTACTTCCACAATCTTCTCCGCTTTGGCGTCTCGCTGCCACTTGCGCTTTGCCACTTGCGCTTTCGACACAAATTCTGCGCCTGTTGTGCCTGCCCAGATAAGGCACTGCCCTGAGGTGAATCGCTTGTCGGGGGAGGAGCCGGAGATGTTGGCGGAGCCGGAAAGTCCGATTCAAGCCACAATAGAAGGCTTGCAGTGACCAGAGAGACAGGAGCGAACGAGGGTGTTGGATCAGCAGGAGACAAGCCTGGAACGACAAGTGAGGGTGGACAGCAGCTTGGGTCGTCGCAAGAACAGTCCATGGGGCTGTCTTCACGTGGTTGAAGACTCAACAAGAAGCAGCGCGCGCAAGGCTCGCGCAGGACTTCCTCAGAGTCGGCTTCCGCTGCGCAGTCCTTGCAGTCGGAAGCCCGGTCGAGAAGTCGAGATAGGAAGATATGGTCCCAGAGTATCAACTTCTCTTCGCAGTTCAGGATCTGTGCACTGTTAGGAGAGTCAACAGTAAGAGGGAGGCTGAGCAGGTACGTGCTTCCCATGGGCCCTGGTGAAGCTCGCTTTCGAACGTCTCCCGGTGGCTACTACAAAGTGCTGGGCACGTAGTCCTGGATAGGCTGCAGATTCGGGTGCATTGGTGCGCCATTACTCAGAGCAAAGGCATCAGTGATTGTATTCCGTTCGATATGGGAAAACACAGACAAGCAGGCGGCTCCTCTTTTCTCCTCGGCGGCGGTAAGGGAGTCGGACACTCCGATATGAGCGATCCGACGTGACCGCCGCCGCCGCCGCCAGCGCGAATGTCTCAGCGCGTGACGGAAACATGGAAAGGCATGCAGCAATCCGCGGAGGTATCGAGGTGGCGGGTGTAGGCAAACGGCGGTCAGACAAGAGCTTCAATTCGTGCTGGCTAAGGTTGTCACTGAGGCTGTCCGTTCACGAAGAAAAGCAAAAGGATACTTTGTCAGCTGGCGGTCGCTTGTTCAGAGGAAGGTGCTGGGTAATGTTAAGGCTAACAGCAGCGGAAGTGGTGAGGCTTGAAAAGCGCCAGGGCGTTGCGTTGTTCCAAATGCTCGGCATTCACGGGCGATCACGCGTCGCATCATGGTGCGCTCCTTCCTCGCCTCCACACAAGCCGGAAGCAGGCATTCAAGGACCATTCAATAGCTCCAGACAGGGAATCAAGCTACCTCTACACCTCAACCAATCTGACTTACTCACTGCCCGTGATTTCCTATTGCTGACCGGCGGGTACTTTTGAAATCACGCACGTGACGAGTTGGAACCTAGCATACGGGTCCGCGGCGCGGTTTCTTATCACAGCACAGCTTCTTATCACAACACAACTCATCCCAGCATACTTTTTCACGACACAACCTGTCTCGGCACAACCTGTTCCAGCACAACCTATCAGAACACACAACTTATCGAAACACGACCTACCACAACACAACTTATCGCAACACAGCTTATCACAGCACAACTAAAGCCCTTCTTACGCTTCATGCAACAATCATATCACGACATCACGAAAGCTTACGCCGAGCGACAGATTGCTATGTAGACTACCGAAAGTGAACAAAGAGGGCGTATACGCTTGTTGCAGGGGAACGATTACAGGATTGCGAAGTAACAACAAAGAGAATCAGCTAAGCCCATCCCGCGCCCATCCTTCCAGAAGCTGTTCCGCGGCCTGTTATTCGAGTCGGCTTATCTCACTCACGTCGAGGAGTTTCCGGCCATGGTTTGTAAGACATTGATCCGACCCGTCAGGCTGTCGAGGAAATGAAGCTCCGGGTCCGCTCTGGTTGTTGTGTTCGGCACGGCTTTGGCCTCTCTGAAGAAGTTCATCCAGGCGAAGCTCCCTCCGTCGTTGAATTGGGGATCGGACGGGAGCGGTTCCGGGGCCCGATCGTCGTCGTCGTCGTCGTAGAGGCCTGCATCAGACGCGTCTTCTCCAGCCGGGACCTGGCTGTTATTGTTGCGGCCACCCTGCACGTCGGATGCGGGTATAGGTGTAGGTCTAGTGCTGGTCGTAGGGTTTGTTGTTCCTGTCGCACTTTGGCTAGGGTTGTTGCCAGTGCTCATCAGGACACCCCGGTCCGCACTTTGGCTGGGGTTGTTGCTGGTATCCACCGAGATGCCCGGGTTCGCACTTTGGTTGAGGTTGTTATTATTGCTGGTGCTCGCCTGGACAGCTGGGTCCACTGTCCCTTGGCTGCTGCTGATGTCGACCGTGGCTGTGCTTTGGTCGGGATTGTTGCCAGCGGTCGCCGGGACGGTCGTGGTGGTGGTGGAGGCCCTGCCCGATGGGGGATCGGTGTTGCCGTCCCAGTTCGGGTCAGTGTACCACTGCGAGGTCCACTCCGGCCAGACCGCTGCGGGCTTACCGCCTGGGGTAAGAGTGTGGTTGACACAGCGAAGTCTAGTAATCATGTTGTATCTGTTGCATAGTCAGTACTGTCGAAGCTGTGTCGAGGTCGGATTGCCCGGGGTAGCTTACTTCAGAGCGTTTGCTGTCTTTGTGGCAAGTACCTTGTCTATAGCATCGCCGTGGCCCACGAAACCGAGGATGGAGAGCAACTCCTTGATCTCTTTTCCCTTGACATTACGCACGAGCTTGTGGCGTGCGCTGTACTTGTTAAACTCTTTGTGGTCGGCTGGGGTTCACTGAAGACGACGGCTTGGTACATGAAGGAGGTCGTAGGCGGACAGGCCACGGAAGTCCTACGTGCTTGTTAAGAGATAGGTTGAGCAAATAGGGTAGGAGCCAACATACCGTCGTTCCTTGGGCACTTGCGACAGTCTCATCTTCCGGAGGGTCAACTCTTTCTACGAGCATCAAGCGTGGCAGAGCATCTGCCACTGGTAATTCTGTCAATTGGTATAACCCAGCCATGGTTGCTATCCACGTCTTCCACTGAGGGAGTGCCGACTGTTTACTGTAGGGTTAGAGAGTAGGACTCGCTTTAATCCTTTTCTGCGAATCGACTTTCATTTCGGCTTGTCGGATCGGAGAACCGTTTGCGGGCCGCCAATACATGTCGGTCCCCGATCGGACATGCATTAGATAACTGCTGCGATGTCTCTCCGTTGAGGTTCCAATCATAAGACATTGCGTCGGTGAGCCGAACTCGTGTCGAGCGTCTCGCATCGAATCGAACAAGAGACATGAATAAGATATTGATGGAAAGCGGCGGATAGAAATTGCCCACCACATATCGCGTTGCCCGCAGCGCGCGAAGCTTAATCGCTTTGTTACAGCTGGCTTGTCAGCTTGACATGGGCGAACGTAGCCCGTGATGAGACGCCATGTCGTAGTTCGGGAGCCAGGTACTACGGGCTGCCGCATCGCCCGCTCCTCTTACGCGCAAGCTGGACGGTGATTAAAGTCCACTCTTCTGGCCGTGTGGCGAAGTTTCAGGCGAAGTTTCAGGTGCTACAGACATCATGAGACATAGTATAACCCTGTATGCCTTACGATTGCGACGAATGCTTAGAATCTGCTATTGATGAACGGCGTCTTCAAGCACGGATGGTGCATGAACGGATGCGGGGAACAGATGGATGTAGCCAGCTTGTGCGGTGGAAATGTGGCGAGAGCGCCTCGTTTCTGACAACTTGCCAAGACTGGTGATAGCAATTGGCTTGGCAATGTCCCTTGGTCGCAGCTGCCCCGCGATGGCCCACAATGGTTACCCCGTTACCTAGGTGGGTCGAAGTGGACTAGCCTTTTGCAGTGTCCCTTAGTAAGGAGCTAGAAGACAGCCGAACCATCTTACCAGGCTAGACACGCGTGTCATACCCTCCTCAGTCCGCAGCATTCCGTTGGCCATCTAGTTCGGCTGGAGCCAGGGGGAAGGGATAATACCCCCTTGGACGTGTACAAATTGTAAGCTTCATGTGATCGATGCATAGCTCGAATAGTTATCCGAAGTGCGTAGGGCACGGTATCTGTAAGCGCTAAACCCAAGTCCAAGTCCAACTCAATCGCTTACAGCAGGCGTGCAAAGCTTCCCTTCCCTCAGCCCTCTCTCCGACCCAGATTCACCCTTCGGAAGCCCCACTCTCACCTGTCCCACTGCCCAGGAAAGTCGAGCATGCATGCCGCGATCCAGTCAAGCCTGTCCATCGGCTCGTCCATCTGCATTCCCTCCGCCCTCAGCGCCGGTTCCGGATCAAAGTCTGATGTCTGAGTGTCAAACGAGATCCAGTCCTCGAGCGAGAAATCGTTGATCGAGGTTCTCGGGATGGTTGCAGCTTCATTCCCGGCGACGTCAAAGACAGGCTGGATCGGCAGGATGGGCGCGAGCTCCATGCAAGGCTCAAGCGTGTTGTAGGACGCGGTGCTAGTCGTGGTTGAAGCTTCATTCCCAGCGACGTTGGAGGCCGGCTGGGTTGGCAGGGCAGGCGTCGGCCGAGATGGGGGAATTTCTGCGGTGCGGAAGAGCGAGGCAGTGGGCTCGACATTGGGAAACGAAGGACTTGGGGTGGAGCGGGTCTTGGTTTAACGTTAGCTATATCTGTAATCTCCGAGTCCTGCTCTTGGATGACTTGTCTGTTGCGTTCCGCCAGTTGATCCCCCTAGTCCGATACACGGCAGATCTAGACTAGGTAATACAACTCCGACCTCGCTCGTCGCCGCTACCGCGCTAGCTGTACGAGGTGGCGGACATGGAGACATCGTGAAGAGGCGGGAGGCAGACTCCACGGACGAAGCAGGTGATACCTTTATTCAACATTAGTCGCGTCTACCCTAAGCCACGTTGCTAATTAGCGCAACTCACCCGCTCTCCACTTGAGAGTGCATCGTCCTGAAAGTCTGCGAACAGCCTGTTGGTAATATCCGGATAGCATCGCCAGAGATATTGCGTGAAGGATTCGCGCTTTGGAGTACGACATTGGGTTTGGCGGTTCTTTGTTAGACAAGAAGGGCGAGAGGCGAGGACCTGCACATGAGAAGAGAGGAGAACGTTAGTGGAAGAAGCTATGCTTCCTGGCGGGTGGCTGGACCCACAGATTCCCACTCGCAGCACACGGAGGCTTGGACGCAAGAGTCGCATGGCAGTTGCTTATCTTTGCCGGAGCACTTCTTCTTTCTTCTACGGCATCTGGCGCACTTGGTTGGCGTACACCGGTTAGCAGCTTCGTCCACAGGCTGCAGTCTGACACGAAGACACGGAAAGGGGGTTGATGTACGGTTCTATGATGTTTCTCGGACTTGCCGGGTTGCGTAGGTGTTTCAAGATGCCTGCGGGTTCTATTGAACGAGGCGGTCCCACTGTGAGAGGACAGGGCATGCTCCATGGTAGAAGGAGGTCTGGGAAAACACAAGAGTGGAAAAGACTGTGCCAGAAGTGAAGTGCAGTGGGGAGATTCCAAGAGGCAGACGAGAGGAGAGACGTTTGTAAGATAAACTGCTGATACATGGCAGTAGATGGGGAGTGTGAAGCGGTGATGATTCGAGATTTCCTAAACGAGATAGCTTCCTCCTCCGCGGTACGACATGCATAGAGAGCCGTGGCTCCAGCTTGCGGCTGAGCCATCTCAGGGAAATTGCAAGCCCAGACAAGTGGAGAGTCTGGCGTTGTTGATCATGTAGCTGAACATTGATTGTTGCAGGCGTTCGCGTGTATGTAAGACGAGGGCCGTGTCTGGCGTGACCATCTGTTGCTCTTCGCAACCGGCACGAGATTTCGTGTCTTATTCCTAGGGCGTGAGGCACAAGCCCAAGCCTTCTCGAGACAGAGTCCATTGCTACGTAACTACTGTCGGAGCCTTCGCGGCGACGGAACGGACGGTTGTGTTCACATCGATTCGCGGCGGTTGGAATTTTCCCGGATCAGGGGTGAGATGTTCAAAACACAGCCCCTCACGTGACTATCCGCCCGCCAACACCAAAGGACCGGTGCCCAGCACAGGCGCCGGCTACTCCACCACCTTTCATCACAACCCGTATCGCGTTCATGGCGTGTCTCTCTCGGCGGCCCGTAGTGGAAGAGGAGGTGTGCGAGGCGATTCGGGCGCGACTCCACGCACATTGGGCGCCCGATCCGACACTTGTCCATTTCCTATCGCGCTCTCGCTCGTCGGCCGTCAGTTATAAGGGACGCATGCCTCACGAACGGCAACGACAGCTTTCCATCCACGCATCTACTGACGACTAAACCTGGGCGTCCTTCAAGGCACCTGTTCCGCAGCTTGCTACTAACGCCATGTCCTGGCTAACGCGTCGCACTGCAGATGAGCCCACAGGACCGACTGCGCGAAAACTCGGAGTATCTCAAGAAACACTTCGCACCCCCGGTTCGTCGTCCGCTGTCGTCATGCCTTTCCCTGTGCTCTCCTAACATTCTCTGTGGATAGAAGTTCCAGGGCACCGTTCTGACTGTCGACGATGCTCGCACTTTCCGCTGGACCGATGCGATCGCTCTTATAGAGATCCGTCGTTTCGTTGGAGGCCAGCAGATTCAGGACAATTTCTCAGAGGAACAATTGCGGCCACTTCACAACCGGCTCTGCATTCTCTACGAGGGCTGGTCGAAGGATATCCAGAACGCACTCGTAGCGAGCTTGGAGTTGAAGATACGCTCCGTGATACACTCGCTGATGTCGATTGGGGCGTGCGAAAGAAAAGGCCATACGCTGGTGTGGGATGCGCGCACCGGAGCCTGGAATGACCCTTACTGGGACGGTGAATGTCGAAGCCAAGACCAGCTGGACAAGATTGCAGCCTGGAAAAACAGCAACGCGGACACTGCCATACCGTGCCCGAGCGAGATTGCATGCTGGATGCTCTATGACCAGCAGCCGCCACTCTTGGAGTCCGCCTCCGAGCCCCAGCCAGCCCCTAAGACTGAAGCGTCGCCCGAACCGCTCACTAGGCAGCCTACCTTCAAGCCGGAGCCGCCGTCCACCTTCGAGCCGGAGCCACCCGTCATGTCCGCCTTTGGGCCGTCCGCCTTCGAGCCCCAACCGCCACCCTCTGTGTCCTCCTTCAGGGCATGGGAGGAGCTTGATAGCTCCCTTTGGAATGTCTTCAGCTTCCCCCACGCATGCCGATCCACCGGTTACGAATACGCCAACATGAAGTACTTCCTCGCATGTGCCCTCTTGGACGAAGCCTGGGCTCGCCTCGAACGGACGCATCAGTCATACTGGAATCAAGTCGTGGCGCTGGCCAAAACCTCCAACCTGGCTGAACTTCAGCCGCTCATGATGAGGAAGCAGCGAGACGTTTGGCACGGAGAACAGGCGTTTATCGAGGCGGCCAGAGACAAAGCTAGGCTGTTCAAGGAGCTGCAGGAGACTTCGATGCAAAGTTCGTTCTCGGCATTGACTGGGTCTATCAGGAATACGGGAAAGGGGAAGCAGCGTATTCTCTAGGGGTTCTGTTCTTCATTCGAAATACCGTCAAGCTAGTAGTCAGTCTTGTAGCAGAGGGCACGTCGCTAGTGGTGTTGAAATTTTATAGTAATTATGCGAAGGCAATACCATCCTTACTGTTTACGGATCTAAAGGCGCTTTGCTCGTGCCTCGTCCCGAAAGCGCGTAGCGGATATAATCTTTCAGACCGAGCAAGCACACGATCCTCTACTTCCTTGACAAAGGCACAACCCCCAAGGGAAGCCTTGGATGTCTTCTACAAAAGAAGATGGCGGGAGTGGTCGGCCGGTTGCAGCTTCAGGTGTAGGTCGTTCTTTGTCTGGAATGCAGATGCCGCGTTCAGCATCGAGCATATGACACAACTCACTCAGTAATCCGTCGTCTCCTTCCTTCTCCTTCATCTGACCCTCACAACGAACTCACGTTATGCCGACTCGCTCTGGAACGTCATACCAGCGTCGAACGACGACGTGGTTATGGCAACGGCAAAACATAAACATAGCGGCCAGCGCTGCGCTGACTAACGCTCCGCTGACTGACGCGCCGGCAAGAACCTCAAGAACCTCAAGAACCTTCAGATCGGCTTCGTTTGGGCCGCCGACAACACCAGCAACACCAGCAACACTAGCGTCGCCTTCGGCAGATCCATTAGCAGCGCCTGTTATCCCTCCTTTTCGTCCTCGTCCGCATCTTCCTGCTCGCTCTCCCTCTCCCTCCTTAGGTACCTCCTATCTCACCTCTATTCCTCTCGCGCATCGTACGCTAACATCGCGCAGACCATGACCGTCATAGCAGGACTCGTGTTTCGCTTCTTAGCCTAATCGGTTACCTACTCTTCCTCACCTCGGTGCTTCTTAACATACAGTATTACCTTGCAGACCGCATCGACTCGCCGTCTCAACCATGCCTACCAACCCCGCCACCCGAACCTGACGTCCAGCCCACCCGCCGTCCCCTTCACGAATGCGGCTACAGTCCCCGGGACTTCACATTCCTTGCTTACCCAGACTTTCTGGACGGCCTCGGCGTGGATTGGCGTGGGCTTAACAAGGACACACTAAGGAGCCGCTACAAGGAACTCATGCTTATCTGGCACCCGGATAAGACACGTAGTACTGGGCTGGATCACTGGCAGCATCATCGCGTTGCCACGTGGCTTACGGAGATGTACGAAAAGGGGGCCAAACAGCTAGATATAAGGGGCGATTACGATGTGTCCGAACTGAATTTCGACGACTACGAAGTAGTGGATCTAGACGCTTTGTGGGAAAAGATCAAGCCGCCCGAGAAGTAAGAGCAGTGGTGCTGGTACGGGTGTTGAACGGACAACCTCTCGGTTACGTCACGTCACGTCACGTCGTTTTTCACGGTGCGCGGCAACAAGAAGTTTGTAGGGGCAGGGAAACGGGGCTGAATACAGTGTTTTGAAATTCATAATGGCTATGGTTCTCGGTCTCTGTATCCCGTCGGTCCGCTCGCAGAGCGGCTTGTTAGGTAGATACACTAGCGCGAACAAGATTCTCTCCCACTTACATATTACCTTGCCGCCAGCTGCAGACTACCCATTGGATGTGGTCATGAGGTATGCGACGACATCTGACGGCTGCAACTCGTTGACCGCCCAGAAATACGATGGATCCTCCTGCATAAGTGATGGATCAGAATCGCTGATGCAGGTCATACCTCTAAGCTGATCCGATCACTTTCTGCGGCTCCCGTCTGCATGTACGGGTAAGGGGGATGCATAGTTGCCCTGGGTCTATGTAGCAACCCCGGAGCTGGGTTTGATGCCCTGTGTGTGGGCCTGTCTGTCAGTGTCCAGCACGCATTGCCTTGCACGGTGGCGTTGTTCAGGCACCGGCAGCGCAGCCGACTTGCCGATACTGGTCTGCGACCTCGCTCAGTGGGTGACACGACTTGTGCGCCGCCTATGGGGCCTGCCTCTCCTGCAAGGCGCTATCAAAGAGTGTATGTACTCCGTAAGCGCGCTTCCCTCAGCCGTGTAACGGGTTACTTGCATCCCACCTACGGTCTTTTCCACCTTTTGGTGCCTGCATCTGCACGCACGCAAGTAGCAGATGGGGGGGCATGAAATGGAAAATATGATAGATTGGGCAGTGATTCAGGGACCTGCCAGCGCCGAGCAACCTGGTCTATCTGACTGCATGCAGTTTCTGATTGATTTTGATGGTTTGGCTGTAGTGTCAAGGCCCGAGGCCTCGTCTTGTGTTATGCTATAAGTACACGCTTCCCTTCCGCAGTCGGTCTGTAAGATCCACGCACATAGGCACAACGTCCTCGGTTTCCTGTTGCGCACCTCTTTCCAGAGTCAGTTGAAACGATCGACGCACACAGACACGACACACTCGATCCTCAGTCTCGCACCCTTTTCCGGAGTCAGTCAAACGATCCACTCGCACAGGCACGAGATCCCAGCTGTTGGCATCACAAAGTTTCTCTATAGTCCCGCGCGGAGGTTCTTCAGTCATCAGGGTACGCAACTCGAATCCTCGCCGAGGTAATACTGTTTTAACGAACGGTGTAACAGGACGTGATGTGTCGTTATGAATACGTCTACTTTCGATGCGGTTGTGCTCGTCGTCGCCTAGTCAGGTACTGCCGCTTCATGAAGAGCAATCCAAGCGACGATTGCCTTGGCCTTTGGTTCCGGGAGTGGGTGTGTTACCATGACTGTTCAACTTGCGAAGCCGTAAGCGGAAGGGAGTAACCTGTATTCTACAGAGAACGATTTGTGTTCGACTGAGTTCCTTGTACCTTTAGTTGCATCTACTTGATAGGCTTGTCGGATACTCCTTACGTGCTTTTTCTTTGTCGAGTAGCTACTACTCAAGCAGTCCTTGTTGAAACTCGGTCAATGATATCACAACACAAGGACTTGGGAAATCACAAGTACTTGGGTTCGCGCAAATGATTACGTAATATCCGCCTACCAAGCATTAACCTGCCCCTCTGCAAACAACTTGCCTGGTACTCTACGTTCAAACCTCGTTAACTATACAACCCTCTTGTTCCGTCAACACAGCGGCTTCAGAAGGCGCACACAACTCAGACATGGCATGCTCCCTCATCGCGTCCAAGCAATAGCTCCCTCGAGCATACGCGGAACTAAGCTGCATGGAGAGTCTTCATGGACGGATCAGTTCACAATTACAGCGGGAGCAGACCTCTTGTTGTTGTTTCTTGCAAAGCCCGACAGCTAGCGGGTAACGGAACAGCTCGTCATGTCTGGGCGTCAAACAAGAAGCCGCGTAGCAACGGCGAGAGGGCGGGTCTGCTCAAGCAAGGAAAAACAAGCAAAAGCAAGGGCGGCATATTGCACAACCGCTCACACTTGGCAGAGACTGAAGCTCAGCGCCGGAACACGGCTCACGTTCGAATCGAGCCGCGAATCGAGCCGCCTTGGATGGGAGCGACTGCTGAGTAGCCGGTAAGCCAAAGATACAAGCCATGTCTTGCGTCGGTAGACCTTGAGACATGGCCGCGAATCGAGCCTCCGCCTGTACCACGTAGTGGATAAAGGCCTGGCCTGCGTCTGGACGTCGACTCTGCAAGCACACCCGCGAGTGCCTCTACCCAAAGCAATGGCAGCACCCACCTCCACCTGTCTATGCCGCGTGTCACCGACAGAGTGCCCAGCCCTTTGTTCCCACCACCGGGAGATGTTCGAGCGTGAGGTTTACGCCTATAAGGTTTGACCGCCCGCCTTACTTCCTCCGAGCTGATCGCCTTGTGCTTACTGCGACTGCGTAGCTCCTCGAATTGGATCAGAGACTGTTGCTCTGGGACCGCTTTCTCTCTGCTCGGCTAGCCAGCCGTGCCCTCGGGTGCGACGACTGCAGAGCCGAAGCCGAAGCCGCTTCTGGGCTTATCCTACGAAAGCACTGCGCCCGCTGCTACCTGCTTATGCTGAACATGCTGGCGCGGGAGGATACTCCCCCATGGCACGAGCATTATTGTCCCTCCTCGGTCGCTCATGCCACAGCTTTCCCTCCCGCTCCACCCGCTCCACCCGCTCCACCCGCTCCACCACCTCAATACATCGCATCTCAACCCTATCCTACCTCGCCTCTATCGTGGAGAACCAAGCTGTGGCTGGCCTCGGACGCTGCAAATCCAATAAGTCTACCCGCACCATCACCTGGTCCAACAACGGACGCCTCCAGCAGCGCCTCCAGCACCCGCGCTACCGCCTCTTCCCCTTTCCTCACCACCCTCCGCACGTCTAGCGACCAGCCTACTCTAAGCAGGCCCTGCTCTCCCCTCGACCTCCCACCCCCTGTCATTCCGCCTCCAAGAGCACCTACACCGCCGACACTCCCGTGTACACCGCCCCCTTATGACCAAAGGCAGTCTTCGCGCATGCCGCCGCCGGCGCCCAGACTCAGGCCGCTGCGGTCGGTCGGCCGTACGCAGAATCAGCAAGGCGCGCAGCCAACGCGCCAGTCGATGCGCCGGAGGCGGGACGACGACGACGACGACGACGAATACGTGTACAGGGGGCAGGAAGAGGAGGCGAGGACGTGGAGGCTGCCGCTTAGACTTAAGCGGCGCTGACATTGACGTGCTTGGAGATAAAGGTGAGAAGTTGGGGAAGGAGTTAGAGAAGGAGCTGGAGGGCGGAGATAGTGGGATGTGAAGGGTAGGGCTGGCATGGACGCTGGTTTTGCTAAGAGCGAGCGGTATATGGAGGGAGCTGGGCGAGGAGTAGGGAAACGGCTGCGGAGCGGGACATGGGGATGACAGAATCTTGAAAGCAGTCGAACATGAGGATTTTTCTTAGATACAACCTCTACAAGTTTCCTTTGTATCAGTTTTCGTCGGTGACAGTTAATGTAATGACACGCATAGCCATTTACTGTATCTAGCAATTCAAGAACTAGGTCGAAAGTTGGAATCCGCCTGGTCTCGCCCTCTTCCGCCTTGATATGGGTTCGTCAAGGCTTGTTCGACGCTGGTCTGGCTGAAAGGGTGAAGCAAGCGGTGCAGCGGTGCAAGCAGGACGCTGTCGGGGTGTCTGGGGCCCAGATCTGGCGTCGAACAGATAACCGCCCAGGGGAAGATTCGCCCTGGTAACAGGCCCTGGGAGATTTGCCCTCGTAGTGAGCCTGGGCCGGGGCAGTGTCTTCCAGCCGCCTACCCTCAAGCTTAAGCCTCTCCAAACTCTGTCGGAGATCGTCTTGCAGCTGGTCCCTGGTCTTGCACGTCCCATCCCAGTCCTTGGTCCTCCATCACCCCCTAGTCCGCGCACTCCGCGAGGCCCACATCAACCCATCTCCGCTCTCGTGTAGGCGCCAAGCGAAGTCAAGCTCTTGGCTTCAGAGCACGTCTCCTGCAGCAGGCGCTCTACAATTGTGTCTTGGACGTGTTTAAGGTAGGCCGGACAGCGGATGTTCAGAAGGATGATCAGGACTGTGCAGTGTGCTTTGATGGAGTTGAGCAAGGTGTATAGGAGTGTTTGTGCGAGAGGTGCGGCGAGGAGGTGACCAAAGTGGACAAGGCCACAGGCGAGAAGAGCGCTGAGCATGTGCCGCTGTTTCGAAAACGGTATCATGTGGAAAGTGTATGTAGAGGCGCAGCATATCGGGGAGCTTGTGTGCAAATTCGGCGACAGCTTCTTCGCGGGCACGTTGTGTTAATGTTGGCCATCTCGCTTCCTGGTCTGCCGTGGCTGCGGGCAGTAAACGATACGCAAGGCTGGAACATGCAATGTTGAACATGGGCAGAGACGGCTGCACCAAGACGACATAGGGAGCTCTTGATTTTGGTGTTAAGGCCGGCGGCTGATTATCTAGTGTGCGGTCTGCCAGCGTCCAGCGTGTCACCGGGAAAGCGAAGCAAAGATGTCTGCGATTAAGAAGCGATATATCCAGCAAAGTGTGGACGAACGCCGAGTCATGTCCCAGCTAGCCTCCGCTTCAGCCCTTCGTACGCCACTAAGCTACCTTGATCCCTTGCTCACAAACCGATTAGCCCACTATCCCGCAAGTTCTCCAAACCCTTCTGGCCTAATTCAATCTGGGCTGTGTAAAACGCGTGCAGCTCCATTGCTAGAGCCTTTGCTAACTCTTCTAGCCTCGTGACGCGCGTTGTCCAGGCCATCTTTTCCGCTTCCGCTATGTGCTTCGCCGCCCGTAGCGCATCTTGCCGACGATGGGTGTCCGTCGCTTTCCTTAGCAAATGCTCCATCCCAGCAGCGGCCTTCTCAACGCCTTGAATCGATAACTCCTGATATTGCCGCATCGCTTCTCCGAGCTCCGGAGGCCGGTCGGTCCCTGGAGGGTACAAGGATGCATCTCTGAGGAACTCCTCCAAATGGTTTTGCATGTGCTTGTAGAAACCGAGGAGGGTATTTTTGCTGTCCTTTTCCGCGGCGACCTGGTGCAAAACGTTCTCGGAGTTTTCTAGAAATCGGGAAAGCAGCACGCTCGCGTCCTGGCTATGTCGGAGCTTTTGGTTCGCATGCTGGAGATCGCGCTCAGTCTTTGCTATACGCTTGTCGACGAGCGTGGATATGTGCGCAAAGTGCCTGGAGAGCGCGTCTAGGCCTGATACATCGTGGCATAGACTACCGTGGAGGCTAACACCATCAAGGACGCTGCTGTTAAGGGGCGAGTTGGTGCTCTCAGCGGACACGCTTTTGGCAGTGATTGCGGAGCGGAATATCTTTCGCCAGAGCCCAGCGTCAATAGTCTCCGGCTGCGGCAGATAAGCCATTCGATACAGGATAGCCACCAACATGTAGATACCACAGTCCGAGGCATTGTCCTGCCTCGCGCAGTCCTGAAAACTGTTAGATGAGCGCGAAGACCAACTGTAGGGGCACCTGCATACACACCTGCGCGGTAAACTTCCACTGCACATGCCGAAAGCGATCATCGCTCGAGAGGCAAGCCGTGTAATGCTCCAACACTGATTGGATCTTCGCCGGAAGCGTAGAATCGTGCTGACGAAGGCTGTCCGCATATTCAACAGCGCCAGTCTCAAGGTTGATAAACAAGACAGTCCAGTGGTCTGAGTCGAGAAGCCGCTGAATGAGCACAGACTCCGCCTTGATGCGTAAGCGCTTGCTGCCTAACTCGGCCGGCTTGGCGACATTGACGAAGGTATTATCAACAACTCTGAAACCTTCCGTGCGGAAGACATCGAGCACTAGATCTATGGCAGTTGCTGATACCCAGGTTCCGTCGGCGAGCGAAGACAATGCGCCGGCTAGCGTTGTTGGAGGTATTGAGGAAGCTAGGGGCATCAACTGTGGTTCTAGCAGTGGTAAAGGTGCTGAATCCTGGCTCTCCGGGGAGAAGGAGTCGGGGTGAGTCTGAGGTGGCGTAAGCGGTTCGGTATCCAGCGACTCCGGTTTAAGTAGTGGGGCGACTTGGCTGGTACTCTCGTCTACGCTCGCTATCGTATAGTCGTCCAGGGCGTGGCCAGAAGCTCCGTCTACGGCATCACCAAGATACTGGGTCGAATCGTCTACGATATCCGAAAGCTGCTGGACTTGACACCTAGGGTGCTCGATGTCTTGCTCAGTAAGACTCCCTCGATCGTCTTCATTCTCTTCAGCTGCTTGCAAGAGTCGCAGAGGTGACAGGATCCTTCCTTCTACGGGGCCGGGCGTGGGAGTCCGGCTTCGACTTTGTGCTATCTGGGTAGCGCTCTTCCGCTTCTCAGGGGCGGAAGAGACCTAGACAAACACTATGTTTAGCATGGCATATAACAGTGTACGTGATAAGGGTTGGAAACAAGCAGCTCCACGGCAGCATGAGCGATGAGCCAGCCGTAACCAGTATTAAATGGTTGCGTACAGTGGCCGAAGGCTAGAGAGTAGAAACGCAGAAAACGTACCGGTTCTTCATCGCCCAATTCGCCGCGTCTTCGTTTCTGAGTTTTTAGGCCCGATTGTTGGGCCAGCGACCCCTCGTGTAGTGGCCGTAGTTCGGCGAGCGCTTTTGTTGCGTCGCAGGGCTGCCAGGGCTTCCTCATACTAACGCCTGCCCTAGTCTCCCTTCTTGTCATGCGCTCTTGGCGTATCCGATCCATCACCGCAAAGGCGTCTGTGAGAGCTGTAATCTGAGCGATTTGAAGGAGCGGCGATACGAACCTATATGAGCTGGCCATGTCTTTGCCGAAATGCTGGATAAAGCCGTTGCGATCAAGGTTCCATCTCTTTTGGATCTCTCGCAGCTTTGGTTCGCATCGAATCTTGGACTGGCGACACTCGTTGACTATCTTAACAAGAGAGGGCCCAAGGTATTCATCGAAGTCGAGCTTAGGCAGCTCGCGCTGAAAGAGTGCCTTGGCTTCGTCGTACTCCTTATCAAGGTCCCAAGAGTTGATGATATCCTCTCGCTCTTGTAGACCTCGAACCCGGTGGCGCAGGTCCGCGCTCATGCGGTCTTCGACATCGACACCGTCACCCATTATGAGGTACGCGCGGGTGAGTGAAGTCTGGAGATGCCGGATAATGAACGAAGATGCGAGAACAATGAATTTCTAGGAACAAGAGGTGGTTGAGTGTGTGGAGACGTGATAATGACAGTGGAACTATGCACTTCCCTTGAAGCTCGAGACTTAACTGTTTTACGTCTTCACAATAGCATTACACCACCACGACGCGTCCTCGGTAATGGTGATGGCGATGGCAACCAAGGCGTCGTCAACATTGTATGCGTGGAAACTCTGGACACGGAGACGTTGCTTGACAGATGCTGATCGTGCGTTGAGCAGCTTGAACGCGCTCCGCGTCAGTCTTGATGGAGACTAAACTGCCGACGATGCGGAGTGGAGCGCTTGAGGGAGTTTCTACTCCATCTAGCACACAACGTCGGTCTGGTGCTTATGATGTTGTTGTTGTTGCTATTTCGCGACCTCCGGTCTCACGTGCCGCTTTCCCATATCGTCACCACTTTGCCTCGCCGTGCCCACGGCCAAAGTTCCATGCTCGGAAACGCTTAGAAACCCCTCGGTTAACAGCTCTGGCGTCACGTACTTCACAGTCCTATAAGCCTTTACTCCAGCTTAGTCTTCGTTCTTCAGTCTTTAAGGCGTAGCATTTGCCTCGATTATTGCCGGCTGACAGCGCCAAACTCGTCACTTCCACATCACTGCAGCAATTGCGGGTGGGCTTGCGTCGCCCTAGAGTCGAGACAAAACAGTCGCTAGCGGTCTTGCATTCCAAAGTGCCTCCCTCAGGCCGAAGAGTTGAGAGCTGAGAGGTGCAGAACGTCACGTGAGAGGATGTAACGGCACATCCCATCACGTGAGCGCTACCAACTTGGCGAACTTTAACACCGTGTTCCAATCTGCATAGCGATTTCAGGCAAGAATTGTGCAGCAGCTGCACTGAAAAACGCGCTATACATCTATGCAGAACCGCGGAGAGCTGACGCTCTCAGGTTCTTTGTCTTGCAAAGCTAGATAGATAGCTTCTTTGAGGATGGCTGTACGAGGGCGGCAGTCACGTGATCCAGCACGTGCGTTGACAGTGATCGGATCCACCTGCCGGGGATATTGGCGAGCGTCAGGAACTGGACGCCTGTTAGGTACTGTAGCTTAGTATCGTGCAGGCACTCCTGCAACGCTGGCAAACGCTTGATGCGCTTAAGGCGCCTGGGTGCTAGCCCTCGTCAGCACCGCAGGCTGGGGTGGAGGGGGGCCAAGAGCAGCGTCCCCCAGCCTCGCTGCAGAAGGATTAAGGGTTGGAAGATCAAAACGCCGCCACCTTGATCGAGAAAAAGCTGGCCTTAGGGCGGCTAGCAATGTGTTTCGACCCTTGGGTGCATTGCCTGTATGTATTTGAAAGAGAAGCATGCCAACAAGAACGGGACTTGATATGCTAAACCCACTATCAACGCCATCTGAGAGTCGGTTCAACACTAGTGAGGCTGCCCATCCATTGCATTGACCGTGCTAATTAAGCAAATTCTATTTGGTACTCTCCCGGCTTAGCATAGAGGCGCTATTTAGCGGTGGCTTCTTATTACGCTTTGCCGCTCTAAGCTCAGGCACGCTAGACGAGGGATTCCCTTCCTGTCTTTGTTTTCTCGGAGCCTGCTTCTTCGCCCGCCATAGCACATGATGCGATCTCAGTGGGCGCATTTCCAGCAGGGCCATCTGTATCCGAGGAAAGCGCAGCGTTGGCGGTAGGGCTGCGAACCGTCCCAGATAGCAGCAACCAACGCCGCGGCGGCTTTTGGCCGGCCGGCTGTCGCCGTAGGATGGGATGCATGTACGTAGATTGTGCTGCGGTGGACTGTTCTACGCGGTTCTGGAAGAGATGCTCCAGCTTCGTGCCGCATAGAAGATCGGCCCACGCCACGCCGCAGTGTCCATGCCCCTAGCAGTCTATGGTGTCCTCGCAGCTTATCCTACAATACGACTTGTTCGCTGTTTTGCGCCAGTTCTTCGTACAGCGAGGCGTTGCTAGTCCGCGGAGAAGCAGCGGTCCGCGATCGGGGTTATTGGAAGAGGTGGTGAACTTCGAGGAAGGGCGCATTGTGAGGGGCAGCTCGGAGGGGGCCTTTGGCTGTTGTCAGAGTTGTAGTGAGGGAAGATGAGATTGGGAGAAGGAGCGTAGAATAGAATTGAATGTGGTATAGAACGTAATGTGGGCTACAATATAGGCTACAATGTGGGTTGTAACATGGCTTGTACAGTAGTTGTGTTGGCTCTGACCGGGCGATCATCAGCAGTGGATACAGCCAAGAACTTCTGAGCCAGCTCATTCGCAGGAACTTTTAGATGTCTTAATATCCAGCTTAGGCTGTTACTACAGATATCGCAGGCATTAACACGCATCTTTTAGACAATCCTCATGAGCATCAAGCGCCCGCTGTTATGGTGGCGAGACATTCACAGCTCCCGGGGTGTTGCCAGTACTGCACCTAGCCGTGATCATGTGAATGGCGGCACTGACCACAAAGCACAGCCTTGGTACTTTACCCACCTCCAAGCTCTACCAGGGCTGTGGCTGGTTCGGAGCTGCCAGAGATAAGTGAAGGTACTTGAAGCGTGGAAAAGCTTCTCTTCCTCACCGGAATCGATTTATCTGAATATTTCCACACAAAGAAAACTCGCTAAGACCCAGGAACTGCTTGTGTTTTGATAACTCTTGGATCCCCTCCCGCCTACAGATCCTGCATGTTGCCGATCACGTAGCCAATACCATCGGCGACGAAGAAGAGAGTGTTTATTTTTCAAGCTGTTTGCCTCGCGGTTTCTTCACCTTCAATGCTAGGTTGCGTCAAGTCTGCGAGGCACTACTACCTCCAAGTGAGCACAAGTTAATTAACTGTATGTTCTGACCTTCAGTCGTTATCTGCCAAAGGGTGCCACTGAGCGTGCGGCATCTTCCTCTCTTCGTCCGGACAAGCAAGTCCTATCCAGCCGTTTTGATGGCGCGCTCCCAGGATGACGCACAACCTAGCGACAGCGAGCTTGAACCACATACAAGTGCAGACCCTCTCGACGGTACGACAATAAGCATAAAGAAGACGCAATGTGGGCCAAAGTTACAGCAGCTTCGGGACTCCGCCTGGCAGCTCGACGAGGCGACCTTTATCAACTATTTCGGCGAAGAGAGTCTGGTCTCGTACCCGTTCCTTGAGCTTCTTGTCAAACTTTCGAACAACGCACCTCTTAGTGAAGCCCTGCGACTCCTGGAGGACAATCGAGAACTGCGCCTCTCCAGCAAAGAACCCCGCGCCGACGTTTCCTCAAAGAAGTCCTGGCAACCGCACGATGTGAGTCAGGCCCTCGAGATTTTGGAGTCACGACGACAGGTCTCGTCGCCCCAATCGTCCAGCGCGACCTCAAACAAGCGGAAGAGAGATCAAGCCGAAGAAGACTACACAGCTTATCCGGAAGCGCCGCTCGAAGCGCGACCCGCGCGGACGCTGTCACCCGAACGCGAAATCACGAAAGCCGGGTCCACTCAAGACGGTGACCTTGACATATCGGACATGGGCTTTAATAGCACAATGCTAGAAAGTACCACGATGAGTTTAGATGACGCTACCCGCGAAACCATCACAATTATTGCCTCACCAGCCCCGGAGATGCCTACACCCCCACCGACTCATCGGCGCTCATCATTGTCTTCAATAGGCGACAGCCTCTCACATTCAGCCTTAGCAACACTGAACACTGATATCAGATCCTCTATGCCTACGACGGATAAAGCAGGCGCTCTCTCCTCCCTTACTGAGAAGGCATGGCTCTCGGCAACTTGTGTCGACCTGTTGCTTAACATCTTTAAAACAGAGGGCTTCAAGATACTTGATCATGCATTCGTTTGCATAGAAAACCCTCAGCATTTTGACAACAAGCAACTGCGCGTCAAGGATGACGAAAGTGTGGTGATCCAGTCTCTATTAGTCTCCGACCACTGGACTGTCGCGTTCATCGACCTCAAGACGGGCATCGTGCACCACCTTGATAGTCTGCGAATGGAGGCCAGTTCTATGATCCCGGCGGTGAGGCAAGCAGCTTTAGAGCGGCTCACAAAGTTGCTGTCCCGCGACAAGCACTTGCGGCATCTAAAGTGGACTTTTGTTGCGAAGGTACGCAAAACGCTGCATCTCTATAGTTGGAGTGTGCTAAAAGCCTCTAGGAATGTCCAAAACAGGACAATACCTATGACTGTGGTGTGTATATGCTTGTAAGTATCTTGCACCATATGGCGGGCCTCCCGCAACCACAATCCATCAACGCCGGCGTCTGGCGGAGAGCTTTCAGGGCTACCCTTGGGGACAACGCTGTCAATGAGAATACCGCGGCTAGCTCCCACCACCATCTTAACGCCAAAATCTTCGACGCTATTCCTGTCGGCAAGACAGACGCCCGCTATGTCTTAGGCGCAGACTACTGCTCGCGGACACACGCGGCCATTGATGAACAGTTCACTCAGCTCCAGCAAGCTTTTCAGCACGCGCGCGAAACCTTCCAGCACACCAGAGCGACGCACAGCCTTATCTCGCGCTTCGTCGAGAATGCCGAGCAGGCACTACGAAAGCTTGGCCGATCAAAGTCGATGAACAATCAAACGCTAGAGTTCCACCGGGATATGCGGTTACGAGTCGAAGAGTGGAAGAAGAAGCTTGAGAGTTACGCCGACAGCGACAGCGACAGCCACCCGCTTACTAACAAGCTCGAAGACGAAACTCGACCGTATTTTAAGCAGAGCGAGGCGATTGGCAGGATCACATCTACACTCACGACGCTGGAGCAAGATGAGCAGAAGACGCGTTATAGGAGAGACTCGCTTCTAGCCGCGAGGACACCGATGGAGGCTGAGCGGGATGTCCGTGCGAGCGAGACTACTAGGCTGGAGGAGGAGGTTAAGAGCGCATCAGCGGAGCTGAAGGCTTTTTATAAGGCGCAGATACTGGCTTGTCAGACAAGGCTGCAGTCTTTACAGAAGGTGCCTTTGTAAGGAACATGGCTGATGGCGCGGTTGTCAGGAAGATGGTGTTGCTGCGGTATTTTCACGGGTTTATCGAGGTACATTTGTGCTTCGACTGCTACCGGAGGTGCTGCTGCCCTAGACTTTGTAGTAGCTTAAAGCTACATAAGGTGAGCGTTGCGATGAATTACAGACCACTCCGATCGTGCCATAAACTATGTAAATGAGAGCTTGGAATGATGCGAGTGGATTAAGGTCCTCGTGCGTGAGAATTCCGGCATAGTTCGACGTCGGGATAGCTCAAAACAATGTTTCAAAGGCTATAAAGGGTGTCTCCGTTGAAGACGGTATCTAGTATCATATTCATGCCCTTGCTAAGGGAAGGCATGGTGCTCTCCGTAGTAGGTGTCGGCGACGGTGTAAGGATGGAGTTGCTAGAGGTTGTGCTGCAAGAGGTTGTGTTAAGAGAGGTTGTGTTGCAGGCTCACTTGGCCTTCAGTCGCACCGACTGCCAACCTGCCGCTCCTCATAGCCACTCACCCAGGCTTCTAAGTCCATCGCGCCCCGTAAACGTTATGATTCTATATTACAAGACAAGCGAGGATGACAATAACAACAACCTGTGAAGTAGTGGTGTTTCAACACAGTAGCAGGTCTAGAAACCATGAAAGCAGTTCCGTCTATACCCTTGCAATCAACCATCAAGGTATACACTCCTCCGAGTTCCCCCTTTCAGTGCGTTCGAGATTGTAAGATGAAATTCTAGCGTACTACTACTATTATAAGATACCAGCTATGCCGAGAATGACAGGAACTATAGTATGTAAGAAAGATAAACTTTCTCTTTCGTCTTTCCGGCTCCCTTGGGATAACTCATGGCACACAACGTCAATCCATAACCTAGAGATCTTCCTTGATTCTCTTACTCCCTACACAGAACGACGGCCAGCACAGCTCAGGCTGCCACCCTGATACGCCGTCTCACCAGTCTAGAGCCGCTGCCCCCCTTTGTACCAGCCCGTCGCAAACAGGCGCCTCTTGTCCGGATATTCGACATCCTCGCGCATTCTACGCACCTAGCTCGTGATTATCTTGTGTTGCTAGAGGTCCAGTCGCCTCGCGCGGGCCCTAGCTAGGTGCCAGCGCGTTCTCAACCGCCGGTGTGCCCGCTTCGGCTCCGTTTCGTTGAGAGAGGGCGGCTTTGACGTGCGCAGTCGGTGAGTGGGTTGAGAATGAGGTTCTTTCCGGGGCGGGCGATAGGTGCAGGCCGAAGGATAGGGCATAGGGGGTAGGCCCGGATGGAAGAGCGCGCGGAGGGCGAGGAGGAGAAGGCATGCGAGGGAGGTGAGCGTTCAAGGTGGAGGTGGAGGTGGAGGACGCAGGGTGCTGGCGTCTTCTTTGTCTTACAAGCCTTTGCGCTATTACTGTACGTTTCGTTGATAGGAAGCGAGGAGAGACATTGAGGTACCTGAGATGGAGGTAGGCTTGAGGCTATTTCGGTGTCTGATAGTTCGGTTGACGCGGCATCTTCCTCGAGGCAACTGGAGCGGATGAAGAGGCGGAGGGCCGACTCCTGTTTGTGATGGGAGTCGCGGGAGGCGGGTTGATTTGCGATATCGCTGTCGATCCTAAGGATGTGGTCGATCCAGGGAGAGACACCACTCGTCGTCTCGGTAGAGATTCGTAGCTGGAGGCGGGATTAGATGCAAAGACAGGGAGAACGAATCCATTGCTGCGACCGGCCTGCAGGCACCCGTCTCTCCCGAGACATGAAGTCTTAGAGGATGTTCACGCTGCGCATCGTCCACGGTCGGCCGCAGGCCAGTTCAAGGCTAGACACGCCATAGACATGGTGCTGGTTACAATTCGAGACAGCCCGAGAGTGCTGCTCTTGCCTGTACTCGCCAGTCGAAACGGAGCGAGCCAGGTAGCATACACTCTCAGCAGCACAGAATCGTTGGCCAAGAGACGGGAACAGAGCCAGACGGAGGCGGATGCAGCAACCCAGCAGCGTGCTCGTGTTGTGTTAAAGACGTGGGAGCTTGTGTTGTGCATGCTCAAGTGGCTGACTCAACCAGCACCAGCACCAGCACCAGACTCCCGGGCCCCGTTCCAACCTGGAAAGGCTGAAACTTTGACGGGTCCAGCTTGGCGGTGTGCACGCGCGCAACAACAAGATGAGCGAGACTTTGCAAAGAGGAGACGCCACTAGCAGGCAAACGAAAGAGGATGCTCAAGCACTTGACCGGTGATTATATCTGGTGTTTGAAGCTGAGGATGGATCGCCGGTGTCAGCCGCAGCCGCAGCCGCAAACGAAGCCCTGTTATGTACCGCCAACTTCCAGCTTGCTGTTCCGACACTCTGGAGTCGTTGACGAATTTTGGGACGCTTAGCCTGCCTATGTCAACGCGGCTGCCATCTAGCTCATTTCTTCCACCGCTCGCAAGCCTCACGGCGGCCTTTCGTTGGTGGTGTCAAGCTATGCGAGAAACAGGGCGCCATCGGCCTGTGTTTCTTGCCGGCTTCCCTCGATTTGAATGCTAAACTGTTCCACGAGATGCGATACTCCGCCTCTGGTCTCTACGAGCAGGCTCAGACATAGAATTCTTCTCCTGTCTCATACTCTAAAAGTGGTATAAAATGGCAAAACTCTTTCCCTTCTTTACCGCAAGAGCATCGTAGCTTTAGCCAACCTCACCGTTATTCAGTCATTCCATTTCCCTTTCACGTAGCTACTCCATCTCCATCGTGCAGTCCAGCCCACGCAGCAGTATTCTTGCCCTCCGCTCTCGTCATCTTCAACTTCAGTAATACAGCAACTCCTACCATGACCACCAGCAAACCGTACAGCCGCGTCCGAACGCCCGTAAGGCGTATTGGCCCTTACTTACGGGAAAGAGGCGTTAAGCAAAGTGTACATCGCCTTTTCCCTACGGCATCCGCCTCTATCTATACCCAACTTCTCCCCACGCGACGGGACCTGCTGACAAGAAGTGCCTAGTGCGAGCGCTGCAGTAACCTCCGTACCAAGTGCACGGGCAACATAGACGACGAGGGCCCCTACGACCGCTGCGTCAACGCCGGCACAAACTGCGTATGGCAGCCGGTGAGTTTGGCATGCAAACCCTCAGCCCAATCCTGTCTCTTCTTCCTCCTTCCTTTCGCAACAGATCCCCCAACTTGTAACTTATCCCTTCCCAAACCCTCCTCTACCAAAACACAACACCCTGCTTCCCTAGTTTCCCGTTCCCACTGACAGCCGCCTAGGCCTCCGCCTCCAGATCCTACCCGGGCGCCTCCGCCTCCGCCTCCCATATCCATAGGCATTCGCCCTGCCCCCGTGGTCACTCGCTCGCCGCCGCTCAGCCTCTTATCGAGTATCTGTGGCAGAGCGAGCCGCGGATGACAACATCCTTATTTCGGGAATTTGAGGGCGAAGAAGAGCTGCCGGCCAGTTGCGGCCCAGCCCACGCACTCAACGGACGGAGGTGCGTGTCACCGCGGGTTAACAGGAACACAGCGGCCGTAAGTGGAGAGGGCATCGCACTAGGCGATGAGGGTATCACACTGTTAGGCGGCGAGGGCATCGCGCTGCTCGATCCATTCTTCAGCGCCGAAAGCTCGGCACTGCAAGTCGGCTTGGATCAGGTACGTTCAACGCCGCCACCCCCTTCCTTGAATATGCTTAGAAGCTGTATACATGTACTTGAGATTTGCGAGGCTGACATGGCCCATAGCTTTCCTGCACTTCTTCCTCCTGCATCAATGCTTCCTACCGATTGGTCTCCGCCTTCTCGTCGTCCACCGCCTACTCGTCATCCCCATACCTTCCGTCCTCCCCAACAATTCCACCCTTCCTTCCAGCCCCGCACGCACCGCATGAACCCCAACATCTACAAGCCCCCAACCTCGCTCTCGGTCTCGCGGATCCCTTCATTGCCCCCACGACAGGCACCACAGGCACCACTAGCGCTACAACCGCCGCCGTCGCTGCTACTACCCTACTTCAAGCTACTACAGGCGCCGCCTCCAGCATTAGTATCAGCGTTCCCGAATCACGCCCCGGCGTCACAGCCCCGCAGCCCGAGCTCCAACTACTGGGCCTTCCAGGCCTTTCAGGCCTAATTTCCACCAACGATGTGAACATTTTCGACTTGATAGAGGACTGGCTCTCGACAGAGGGGTGGAAGCAGGAGGGTGTTTAGGAGGTTTGAGACTAGCTATGGTTCCTCTTAAATTCCTTGTGGGCTCTCTTCTCCGTATTTCCCTCTTGGGGGTTTGGCCCAATTTTCCATGGATATACCACCGCCAACATCACGTTCTGGATTTCTGATTTGGTTGATAGGTTTTTGGTCTTGGGACACTCTTTGCTTTTTTCAGTTGACGGTCTGGATGTCTACATACCTCACGGCAGGCGTCCCTTTGCTCGATTTCTCCTGTGGAGTCTCCTTTATCCATCTCGCTCGCATCGACGTTGTAATTTCTAACTATTTCCCCATAGTTACTATTGCCCCTGTGTGTTATTATATACCCTCTTCGCGTCTCCGTACCTATCCGTGTTGATTCTGTCTAGACGATGCGGGCAACCCGAAATTGGAATGAGCTTGCAAAAAGGAACATTCCCAGCCTCCTTGAATATGCGGAGCATAATCCGCTGGCTCCTCCATTCCTTTTAGCTTGTCGGACGTGGTCTTAATGTTAATTCACTCGTGCTCCTGTCGTACGTCTGGAACAAATACACCGATAAATCCCCAACGCCCGCCGGCTCCCTCTGTAGGGCCTACCGCAACCTCCACCGCAGGTCCCACACTTCTTTCCTAACAGCCAGTCCGTCTGCCTCTCAACCCCCTGAAGACCTTGACCGCCTGGCGCCCGCAGCTAACAGCCTGGGCTGCAAGCTGGACGCGCTTGCTACACTCACTGACTCCTCCATCTCCACGAGAGGGGCACTTTTACCCAGCCAAGCTAAGCCCATGTCCCGCCGCTGCGAGCGGGGCTACGCCGTCCGGGACACCGCTATCCGCTACAAGAGCCGCTTTCGAAGCTTCGGGTTGGCAGCGGAGACGCGCGCGGAGATAGTCGCAATCCTCATGGCGCGGCACCTGACCCCCGGCGAAAGCAGCAATACGACAGCGATAGCCATGCATCTAGCGGCTATCCTCGCCTGGGCGGCCGAGACGGCTAATCCCACCGCAGTAGGCATAGGTGCTTAGCTTATTACGCGTGCCGCAGCACTCTTACCGGTGCTTCGATCTGTATACTCCCTAGCCGCGCACGACGCCGAGCGCATCTCCGATCTGCGCGCAGCGCCGGATAGATAGCAAGTGCCGCATTCAAAAGCGAGGCGCTGACTAATGGATATAAGGGCTGTAATAAACGTACAGATGGCGCGAGGCATGTTTTCTTCTTTAATGCTTTGGGCGCTTTGCTGCGAGATTTGGACTGTAGGTCTCCAGCGGATGATAGCTCTACTCTTGGCCGCGAGCTTTCGCTTAGCATGTGTGAGGGCGGCTTCGGTGATGCTGTCGAGCATTTTGCTAAAGGCTTTGGTAAAGGCGTAGAAGAATAGGCCATGTCTACTCCGATCTACGTCACCCTTCGAAGCCTCCGAGAAGCTATGCAAGAGCGAGCTGAACACGCGAGATGGTAGCCTTTGGGTCTAGAGTTCGGAGCCGGCTATACTTTGAACAGTGTGAAGAGTGTATTGGCAGACGTAGGGTCTGCGGCGCAGCGCTGGCATAAGGCTTAGCATACTTAAGATGGGGATGTGGACGAGGACGCGCCGGAGAGAAGACTGGAGAGCGCTAAATTGGCACTTGATTATGATTGTAAAGGTTCTGAGAACCGCCGCAGGAGTACCTGTCTATTTCACCTCAATCGATCTGAAGGCGACAAGCCTTAAGCTACTCACCCAAGGAAGTTATTCACTCCCTAACTCCGGCCTCCATGAAGAATTTTCAATGTAATATCCAGGACGCTCCTTGTCTTCTTCTGTATATCGAGATGCGGGAAGACCAGATGGAATGACAACGCAGTTCTATAACTGGGGTTGAGTGAGCCTTATTGGACAGCGGAGCGGAGAACTGATACCGAAGACCTACGACTGTCGGCGAACATGGGAAACGAAGACGGGGCAGTATGCGCTTCATAGACCGAACAATCCGGAGGTCTCGGTGCCAAGTTGTTCGCTGAAGATCGGATTCCGGCTACTTGCTCGAGCTCCTTTACGTCCTGGTCCGGTGCCGGTTCGGCAGGGGCCGCTGGGTCCTGGATTGTCCTCGCGGCAGTGACGACCTGCTCATGCGGCAGCTCGAGCTCTCCCTACCATTAGCATCAAACGGCACAGGATGTTGCGGAGCCTAGGGAGATTGCTGGCGAGGTAGCTTCAAGCGGAGTGCAGCAGCGTCGTTGGAGTAGGAGTGGAAGGCGATATTGTTATCTTGTTCAACTTCCTATGGCGCCGATCGGGTTCTGTACTGGGTCAGACTCGGCAGGAGGCGCTAGGTACTGGCTTCTTTGCATCGTGATGGCTGCTTTGTTGTGTAGCAGCTCGAACTATCACTGTGGTGAGAGTGAAGCATACGAGATCTTGAGGGCATCTGTTCTACATGCGAAAGGGAAGGGCGTGAGGGAGCGGAAGGATATCAGCCGCAGCCGCACTAATACCGCCCAGCCCTGTCACATGCCGTCACTTGAGTTAAGGTTGCCGGGGAACGTGGGTTGGGGCCGCGCATGGGCTGGTCTATCTTCGGACATCACCACCTGAAGCGAAAAGTAGTAGGGAACCGCCAGATAGGGTAGAAGGTATATTTGATTAAGCTATTGATCTAGAGACTGCAGAAAGAGATTGGCTTGAAGGTGGAGGGAGGCGTGTGACTACTTAGAGCCTTTAACAGCAGTAGGCAACACGATGAACTGGTAGCATAAAGCGGACAACCTCTTCTGGTTCGCGAAGAACGGGAGCGTATACGTCTCGCCTTCGGTGTTTGTGGTATTGTACACGATAGCTGGCTACTTGCCCGCCGCTCTTCATTCAAGTCTGGGCAAACGAATCCATTAGCATGTACAAGCCTAGTAAAGGAGCACAACTAGTAATTGCAGCCTGTTTTGGGTTTACTGGATCTTAATGAGAACTTACTAGAGCACTGTCTTCGGTTTACACCTAAGATCGCTTCTTTGCCAAGTCCAACATCGAAAGACTCACTGCGACCCACTCCATTTCGCTACTCCCAACCGCCTTGACACTCCTCCTTGGTGGAAGGTTCTCTTCGTTACGCATATCTAGGCATTCTAGCACCTCAATGCCCATGCGCCTGAGAGCTGCGCGCCGGGCTCGTTCGCGGTCGCCCAATGTCCAGTCTTAACGTCCCAGCGGCACCGTCAGTAACAAGCCATAGGTTGTGATGTCTTCGAAGGGGCTTGGAATAAGCTACCTGCGTCGTCGCCAACTCTTGGCATACGTACATGCGGCCCGGACCGCCCCGATCCGCAATCGTGAACCGTGACCATCGCTTTCGCCGGATCCGCGAGGCAGGCTTGGAAAATCAGGAGGTGCGCTGAAATAAGGTCTTCCAAAGTAGCTGGGAGCGGAGGATGGAGCTTGTGTATATGTTGGCGAAGTCTCTGCTGGGGCCTCTGAAAGCAGCGCGCCGTAGTGTTCTTATAAACCATACCAAGTTCCAGTTGCTGTACGCTTCAGCCAGTCAAAAAGGTTAGATTCTTGCATCTTCAGGTCTGGATGTCACCAAAGTACAGCGCCGGACGCTTGCAGCGCCAGGCTGGCACCCATAAGAACTGACTGCTGGAAACACCGGGACTCCTGACGTCTCAGCCAATTGACGCCATCCGTAGACTATCTGCTATCTGTCGGATGTAGAGAGTGCATATACCCGCGAATCTTGATCCTAACGTGACAATGAGATGTCGTGACCCGAGTTCTTATGGATTACTTTACTGCAGTGCGAAGATCGTGCGAGATCCCGCTTGACGGAATTGGTGGCTAGGAGCTCTATTGATTCTGTCGACTGAGGAATCGAGGCCGGCTGCATACCCAGCTAATTGACCCATGTTGGTACTCCCATTAAGATCAGCGTTCCCCTTAGCATGTCACTTGAAGTCACAGCCAACACCAATAACAGGGACAGCCCTACTGAGCCAATAGTCTTGACTGCCAAAACCCGAGGTGCTAGTTACCTTGCACGGTACGGCTCTCCTCACCTTGAACTAGCCCGACCGCGACGGTGCATATGTAAGCAGTCAGCCGTCTGCACCTCCATGAGCGAAGCTGCGGCGCTTTCTTGATGGAACGAGTCAGCCGCCCTATGTCGCTCAATCAGAATCAGTCACTGTCTGGGATCGCTAGGTGCTGCTGCGCGCTTGATCTCGAAGTAAGGAATTAACAAGGTGATGGCTCACATTCCTAAAGGCTCAAGGTTGCGGGTAGCTTAAGGGTGGAGATCTAGATATCGGCCAGGAGAGGCCGGCATATGAGCCCCCAGCTTGTGTACCTTACTGAGCACGTTCAGGAAAGTGTCCGCGAAGCTGTCGAAGACGCCCCGGGATGGGCCGGTTCCAGATTACGCTATTCCAGTCTGTCTTTATGGAGAGGAGCTGCTACTGCTGCTGCTGCTGCTGCTGCGCGCGGCGGAGGATGGGGTGCAGCGTCAGCCGCTTAAGAAAACGGTATAGGGAGTGTGCACTCTACTCCATCTTGTGCTTATCGGGGGAGAGGGGCCATGGTGCATTGGGGTCACTTGCGGTAGAGGGTCTGATGGAGGCAGAACACTGGCAAAGCATAAGTGGTATTGCAATACACCTACGCTGTACACTTCCTGAAAGCAAACCTGGCGCTCGGCCTTTGCATGTCCATTTCTTTGCCTTTACTGCATTTGTGCTTGCTCCATATTATCTACAAGGCTGAATGGCGCCTCCGCCTTACATAGCTCACTAAGCCTTCTCGCCTCCTCCGTCACGACACCCAGTACGGTTATTGACAGCATAGGGGCAGATAGCCGGTAAGGCCCGGAAGTGTGTCACATAGGGGTGTAGGTTTCCACAATGTCGTTTGGCTTATCGGCCTGTTCGAAGATGTTAAGCTAAATGGCGTTGCGCTTCAGCACGTCGAAAGCATCGTCTTCCTGAATCCTAATTAGTTACTAACTAAAACTTCGCGGGCAGGCTCGATTCGCTCACCGGCCATATAGGGAACTCGTCTACTGCCTCGCTGCGGCCTTTCTGACTCGTCTCCCGCTCCGCCTGCCGAACCGCATCCTCCCTTTATGCCAACCACGCCGCAAGCGCTTGCGCCAGCACTCCGGCTGCCGAATACCGGGACGTAAAAGCGTCCCAGACCGCACGATGCGTCTAGGCTAGGCGTTTGGCCGAGTCGCGCCGGTTTGTCCTCGCCAATAAGTACCTGAATCGGAGGTAAGCAGGGAATCGGGCGTGGAGGGGATGCTCTTTACCAATGCTTGGGCGAGGGAGCTGATGTGTTAGGAGTTTGGACGGGCTGCACGCCGCTTGCGTGTCGTGGTGGCAAGTTCTAGTGGACTTGCCTAGGCACTTCCGCCGCCTGTCTGTGCGGTGGGGACTGGAAGGCTAGGGCGAGGGGTGGAAGGAGGCGTGGAGGCGCACGCGGAGCCTCGGATTGAGAACCCCCGTTGAGATCCAAGTGGTGTCCTGGGCTGCCTAAGTATATCAAGCGAACGGTTGTCCTTAGTGCCGACCCAATTCTTATCCCTTCACTCCTGAGTGTGCGCGTCCCAGAGCAGCGTAACAGCATAACAAGTCCACCTCCGTACACGCCCCACGTGAACCCAAAGCCTCAACCATGGACAATATCTTCTGCAATAGCAGTTGCAGAAGCGTGTCCTGGACGAGCTCTGGGCAGGTATTGACGCTTAGAGTATGGATGACGGCTGGTAGTCGGCTTCGGTGAAGGTGGTCTAGTACTTCTTCCAGGCCACAAAGCGGTGGATCTCCATTGTTGCGGTGCGGTCTTGCTCCTAGAAGATATCGTTAACGCTAGTGTCGATGTCTTGGACGGGAATACCGAGGAAAGCCGATGAAAGAATGAGAGCGGTAGAGGGGAACGGACCGTGGAGCTGCAAACAAGGCTGAGCTGCTTAATAGTTTAGTCTAGTCTGGATTGCCGAGCCATCTGCGGCGCGAGAGCTTAGGGTCATAGAACAATAAGAAGGCGCAAAGGCACAGTAAGTGGGAAGCACCTTACAGTCGAATGGTTAGCGGGTGCAATAGTGCTGCCACCACGACTTCTGAAGGTATCCATCTCTTGCATGATGCAGTATCGTAGTCTCCATAATGCGCGGCTTCGAATCGTTCTTGGATCAACCTTTCGATTCGATTGCGTATTATCCTCTGTGCCGCGTCCAGCTCGCCTCAGGCATGACACGCCATAGACAAAATCCTTATGGGGGCTCAAAATGAGGTTTCCCTCGAAGTCGTGTTCGATAGTTGCAAAATTGAAATCGTAGTGCCACGTACGATGTAAGTGCTGCGGGATGTTACCGTACGCGGCAAAGCGTTGGGGAAGACGAAGATAGAGTCACGTGACTAACTTAGCAGAAAACTCGACACAACAAAGGATATCCGACAAGATCACGTGTCTGGAAGCGCTCGCCGTCCCCAATAAGCTCGTAGCCAATCATGGGTTTCTCGGGCACGATGAATAAATCGAAAGTGTATTAACCGGTCCATACAAATGCATCTCTAGCACGTTCGTTTTTAGTGTCGGTGTCAGGCTCAGTTGAGGTGTCGCTGCCGGCTGGATCATCGGAACAGCTTTGTAGCAGCTCCCTGCAGCCCTAGGCTCGTATTGCTGCTGGTCATGGACGCGCAATAATTTTTGTGATACTGATCCTTCTGAGTCAGAGATTCAGCCCAGACCTTGTGGAACGCGATCATGGCAGCTGCGTTAACTGGGGTTAAGGTCGTAAAGGTAGATGAGCATAAGGAGGGGGAGAGTGTCTGAGGTTCGCTTGCTATATCTATTCTCGACGAGACAGCACGGCTCTCGAGGCCAAGCGCAAACCTAGGTACTGCAGGCGTGCAAGAGGTTGTTCAGACTCTAGCAGGTAGTTCTTAAGGGAGAAAGCTTTTCGTAACCTGTCTTTCTTGGCTGAAAAACGCGTGGTTTCATTAATTATGTGCACAGCTCCAACGCTTGCTCCCAAAACAGGTGCAGGTTGATTAAACAAGATCGACAAGGGCAAGACAATGGTACACTGAAATATTTTGCATGCTTGAACTAAGATGTCCGCATATGCGTGTTGATTTCACTCTCTCCACGTGATTAACTTGTGTTGTGATCAGCTTGTAGTTAGTCGACTTGTGTTGTGTTATCTACGGAGTAGGTGCCTGTGCTGCACCCGATACGCTACACTGCACTAACCGCAACCTCCGTCACCCGTCGATATCGCTCTGGTTCCTTCTATCCGTCTCCCATCGTCTATAGAGTCACTTCCTATTATCCTACTAATTTCTTCGCCGCTATCGTAATGAGTGGGCAACCAATTGCCCTAAGGCAAAGGCTGCGGTGCAGAGGATGAAGTATGTGCACTGTACCTTGGTTCTTGCGCTTGATGCTTCGCTCAGTCTATATTCTACCTTCGAGCTAACAATGCTCACTACTATAGGCTCCTTCAGACGTAGTCGCCACGTAAGGCCGCCACATTATCACTCGCCCTCCAGGCCCTTCAGCGCCTACTTACAACGCCCACTTCCTCCGGAGGCTCAATGAAGCACTTACGCGAGACACGGCCCATCAGGCTCTACGCTGCCGTCCCTACAGCACTCCCGATGCTAACGACTACCCAGCCGGCCGAACACCCCCGTCAGTCCGGAATGCCACCTCGATGAACAGGAGAGTACCTTACAAGAGTTTTTGGAGTCAATGACACCGTCTGAGGCTGGATCATCTGAGGATGATCTCGGTCAAGTAGAGACTAGTCTCCTGACACCTATCAGCGGGTCGCGCAGGCGTCTAGATCGGGGCGCTGATACTGGCAACCTTGCTCAGCCTAACAATGCTCGGTTGTGCCCACACTGGCTTTCTTTACTACCAGCCAAAGAAGCACGTACAAAGCGGCCTCTTGTCCAGGGAAGGAAGAGATCCATATCTCGCGTGCAAGGCTAGGGGAACAATCGACCGCTGCGCCGCGTAGGGCGTAGAGCCATGCACACCGCTCTTCCACTACTATTCCGGAACCGCAGTATCATGGATAACGTGCGAAGGTTGTGAGGAACAGAGTATTCTTTGTTATGTCGGACCCTCTTCTTAGGCGTCGGGACTAGTGATGGCACGTTCACGTTGCGCTCTTGCAGCGCTTTACCGTCCGATATTTAGCGGGAGAGAAGCTGGCATGCGCTAGTCCACCCACTAAGCTTTGATGGTGCTGCTTTAGCGATCTTCTAGCTGGCAGCTCGCAATGTTTGCTGGCGAGGTGATTTGCAGTGAAGAGCTGCGGCGGCGCTAGGGCTGGAATGATAGTCGAGGACGTCCTCTTGAGCTTCGTCAGTGTTAAGCTGCGCGTGTCGTTCGAGCCCCATTGGAACAGTGGGGATCTAAGCTAGCTCTGAGTTGGCACGAAGCGCCGGAACTAGAAGTAGCACTAGGAGGCCCAGCATACACAACAATATGCCGCCGACCCGGACGCGCAGGAGTAGCAGATGTATAAGTTACATAGCTACGGCCGCAACTACTAGCATCGCGGCGACAAACGTACAACGCGCGCCATACATAACAGCAGATAGCTTGAGTACTCGTTTTGTCGACAGCGCTGATGTGGCGGCATGCTTGAGGCGGTAGGGCGAGAAATGTCGTAGGCGTGCAGTGGACGACTTGCTACAGTCTTAGACGGTTCTGATTAGGATCTCCTTCAAGTCGATCTGGGCCTGGTGTGGCTTTAACGATCAATGTAATGAAGAAGAGGGCTGCTTTTCGTTCAGACCTGAGGCCGGCTTCAGAAATGGCGTAGCAAGGTCTGAGTAGTCCAATTCGAGACTCTAGCTCCAGAGCAAGTGAGTAGTGGTATGTAATAGCGCTTCGTATAGTAGTACACACGGCAGCAGCTTCTTGTCCACCGCTACCACCTTCTTTTCTCGCTGCCCCTCAATCTTCTCCTTCTCCCTGTGCTAAAGCCCACACGGCACGGTATCAAGCTGTGTTGTGTTAACAGTGAGCGCGGATAAACATCGGCGCCTCGGCCAGGCACGTGTGATTTGCCTCTTCGTGTTACGTCCTCACAACCTCACAACCTCGCAACTTCACAACTTCACAGCCTCACAACCTCACAACCTCACAACCTTTCAACCACACAACGCTCGCTCGCCCGTAAACACGCTCATTTAGCCGCAAGCATAGGCAGCGGACGTAAAATTCACCGAATAAAGACATTTCTCCAAAGCTCTATTCTCTTACTTATGGTGCTTGTTGATTGCCAGTCCTCTGATTCCTCTCTTCCCTACGCTCATGGCCCAACTCAATCATGCTGCCGACCAGAATGGAAGTGAGGATGACAACGCTGTGCTCATCGCGAGCATGAGTCTCGACCTACAGGCGCGCATTGAGGGCCTCAGGCAGCAGGTTGATAATGCTCCCTCGGCCAGCCCTTCAGCGTATGACGCAGCCAAGCCCATGTTCGAACAGGAGCTGCCCGGCTACGATTTCGACGATTTCCTCGGCCGTCGTGTTATGAGCCGTATCAAACGGACGCGCGCAGCAATGCAGCGCTGTGAGCCGAAGTGGAAGCAACTGCAGGAGGCGGATGGCTGGAAGCTCGACCGGGCGACTTTCATCCAGCACTTTGGTGAGCACAGGCTGGGATCCGTTAGGTTCCTTGATCCCCTGGTTCAGCTCGCCAAAGTCGTGACTCTGGATACAGCGTTACCGGTGCTGAACCGGATACAGCAGCTCCGTATTTCTGGCACCAATCCACGCGCTGGAGTCTCTCGCAAAGAGCGCTGGCAACCCATCGACGTGAGCATGGCTCTAGAAGAACTCGCGCCGCAGCAAGGAGTAACGGCGTCCCGCACCACGCGCAAGAGGAAGAAGACAGGCGCCAACAGTGGGGACGAATCCGTAAGTTTCCAACCCTTTCGTCTTCGTGAAGTTTCGCTTCCAGGCGTGACGAGTTATCAGAGCCAAACCCCGACGGTTCGCATTGTCTCTACGGGGTTTATGAGTTATGCGTATTGCTTCGCCTTGTTCCCGTCAGCGCTGGTTCCGTACGTCGCGCTAATTGCAATGTCATTTACTCAGAGTACTCCTAAGCCTCTTATTCCGCGCAAGAAAAAGCCCTTGGCACGTAAGCCGAAGCAGCCTCGCGTGAGCCTATCCACGCACAACGGCAGTGAGCGCGACGTTGAGCAGGCCAGGTCTCAGCCCAGCCAAAGAACTTCAGAGGTGGTGGGTACTTCAGGCAAGAATGACGGTGTCTCTTATGAAGGTCTGGATATCACACAAGGTAGTACTTTGATGGATTTGGATGAAACTGTTCACGAGACCCTTCAGCCGATAAGACCTCCACCGGCTCCTGAAATACTTATCCCTACGCTATCTCGGCATCTGTCATCATCGGAGACTCAGGATCCCCCGTCTTTAACATCTCCTCTAACCACCATCTCTCCGACCACCACCTCTCCGGCTAATAACTCCGCAACCACCACCTCTCAGACTGCTATTACCTATCCGACCACCACCACCTCTCCGACCACCACCACCTCCGCGACTGTTGCCTCCTCTATGCCCGCTACAGATAAAGCAGGCGCTGCGTCTACATTCGCCGACAAGAAATGGCTGTCGGCAACTGCGATTGATTACGTGCTAGACGTCTTTCAGACTGAATGTTTTCGTTTGATTGACAATACAGTCGCCGACCCGGCGCCTTCGAACTCTAGTAGTAAGCGCATCCGGGTTGGGCCACACGAGCATACGGCTGCACAGCTGCTCTTAGCAGCCGGCCACTGGACAGTCGGTATTATAGACCTTAAAACAGGAGCTGTTGAGCATTTAGACAGCCTACGGAGTGGCAGCAACCCCGGCATTCCCTCTACGACACGCAACGCATTGTCGCGTTCCACAGGGCTACTCTCACAGAATGAACACCTCCGAGATCTGCAATGGACATACAGCTCGAAGGTATGTCCACGCGCTACCTTTCCAACCCAAAGATAGCCAACTGTTTCTAGGACTGCGCACAGCAACCCAACACATGGGATTGTGGCGTCTATATGCTGGTCACAATCTTACATCGGATGAAGGGATTGCCTCAGCCGCAGTCTATCGACGCTGGCCTCTGGAGGAAGGTCTTCCACGCTGCGCTCACTGGGGCCGTTGGGAGTGCCGAAAGAATGATTCCTAGCAGCGACATCTTTCACGATTTCCCCACGAGCGAAAGCCAACCTGGCGATGGCTCAGGTCTGGCCGCAGTCTCCGCCCGATGGGCGCGCACGTATGCAGCTATTGACGAGCGCGTCACCACCCACCGGCGCTCACTCCAGCGCGCCCAAGCAGCACACCAGCACGCTACAGCCGCCCGCACGCTCCTCACCCACTTCCATGACGCTATCTCGGCCGCCCAGGACCAGCTCGCCGAGGAGAAAGCGCAGAAGGGGCAGCAGCTCAGCCTACACGAGTACATGCAGGCGCACCTCGAGAAGTTCACGGTCACATCGGCGCATGACCCTAGCAGCAGTAGTGGCTGCTCTGACACGGCGCTCGAGGAGGCAATAACGCCGTACCGCGCGCTGGCGCAGCAGACGGAGCCACTTGCGGCGGAGATTCACGAGCTGGCGCGTAAGGAGGAGAAGGCACATGGGCGGATGAACGCGCTGGTGGCGGCGCAGACGCTGGTTGAAGGGGAGATGGAGAGCTCAGCGGCGAGGCTGAGGGCGCTAGAGGGGGTGCTCAAGCGTGCGACGGAGGAGCTGCAGGCGTTTTATCAGGCGCAGATTTCTGAATGCCAGAGCCGGCTGGAGATGCTAGAGGCTACTTGTGCGGTAGCTTCGTAGAAGGCGACGGACTCTGTCGGGCTCCATCGGACGCCTTTCAAGGGTTGCCGTGTCCTTGTGAAGGTGCTGTCCGAAATCGACAGCATTTAGCATGTAGCTCGCTGATTGTAGCCGTGTCTCTTCCGCATGGAGCTTGTATCAATCGCAGAGTCGTATCCATGTTCTTGAATAGCTGAAGGCGAGTTTCCATCCGCGTATTCCGTCCCGAGGACGCTGCTGGATTAACGCTCGACGATAAGCGGACCGGTAGCATCGGCCCCCTCGTCCTGCTAGCTGCTACGTAAGGCAGCTCGACCTGCAGCTATTCGCAGCGAGGATGGAATACTTGCAGCCCGAGGATGAGTGGTATACCTGCAGAAACTGTCGATTAAGTATCAGTCCAGCAGGATCAAGTTTCCCGCACCATTCGCCGTGCTACGTCTTTGAAAGTGACTCGAAGAGTGCAAGGACATGTGGTGGGAGGTTCAGTTAGGTATGCGGCTTTAAGGACACAATTGTAGATACGTTCTTCAACGGGGTGATTGGTAGTATCGCAGCGTTACCACCGCTTCTATTTATCGTTACTAGCGAGCGTTACGAGTATCTAAGATAGACCGAGGGCGCTAGACTCTTACGCCCGGAGCAATCGCCTACCGAGTTGCTAGTGTGTTGAGAGGTTGGTGTCAAGGCGGACCAAGGCCGCGAACAGCTTTAAGCTCATCACCACCAGCAACTACACCATCTGTATCCACCTTCTCATACAGCTGAATCAGCGCCCTCCGCGTTAGGCTCTTGAAGCCGCCGGTGCGGAAAACGCGGCCCTAGTACAGTATGCAGAACTGCGCCGTACGCTTCCTAAGCCAGTCCTCACCAATAGCAACCGCACGCTTGTATGTCGCAGCCGCGTTATCGAGGTCGAGGTCTTTGCCGGGCCTATTGACGCAGAGGGGCCTGGCGTGGGCGTGGGCGTGGGCGCAGGTGTAGGCGCAGGCGTGAATGTAAGCGACGGCGCAAGCGCAGGCTTGATCCGCCTGTCCTTCATCCCTAATCTCGATCTCGCCGTCTCCGCTTTGGAGCATGTTCGTCGCTCTCGGGGTCGGTGCTAACAGACGGCGTGACAAGACTGCGATCGTGTGAGCATGCGAGTCGAACGAAGCTCTAATCGGTACGACTACAAGGAAATAGACGTACCCTTCCATATTCTTAGCTACGGAGTGGGTGCTAGTAATCGTGACACTCTGTAGCAATCTCCTCGGCTGTGCAAGCGGAGGGTCAGGTGCTGGTGCGATCGGAGGTGCTAATGTTGACGAAAGCGCAGCCTTGATTCGGGCAAGACGAAGTCCTTGAGCCCAGCGGAGGATATTCATAGAGATGGACCTCAGCTGAAATACGTCCTCGGGCCGTTCCAGCAGCCCCATGCCGATGGAGTCCATCTCCCAAGATAGTCCTTCGTCGCTGTCGTCGCGCCGCCAGTTCACGTAGAACTCGGCGGCCTTGGATGTGACGACAAGCGAGAAGACGGCTGTTTCGTGCTCTGCTGGTTGGGCTGTGCCCGTCTCGCAGAAGAGATGCCGCACCGTATGGACAGCGGCGGCGCCATCTCGCATGGCCTGGAGCTCGCCCCTACGAGGTGAGCCTTCCTCGGCTTTCCATTCGAGGATTTGGTAGGGCCATGACGGATCGCGGTCGGAGACTCTGCATCTGGAGGAGAGCGCGCGCTGTTTGTCGAGCTCCCCGCTCGTAAAGCTCCTTTCCCAGTAGCCGTAGCATGAATCCGGCTTTGGCCGTGGGACTTTGCCGACCCTGCCGAGAGCTTCGCGCAGGACCGTGTTGCCGGTCGTGTCAGGCCTGGGGACGGATTCCTCGTTCCACAGCTGGTCGTGCGAACGATAGACGTGTTCCTCGCCGCCGCCGAGCGCAGTCGCGGGCGAGTACAGCAAGTGCTCCTCAAGATGCGCAACAAGGTCGCTTTCCGACATGTTCTGCAGGACTGGAACGTGCTTGGCGATTCTGGCCGACTTTGGCGTAGTAGGGCCCTCGCGCGGGCTCTGGACGGAGACGACGAGCTTCCGTAGGCCCGTAGGCATCGGCCGGTGTCGGTTGCGGTATATCCGGTGTGTTTGGAGGATGGTAGTGAGCTGCGAGGTGGAGATGTTGCTTCTGTTCGAGCTCATTGCACCGGACGAGGCGCTGGACCGCGACAGCGTTCTGGGACTCGTTCTGGGGCTCGACGACGCCGCGTCTAGTGCGGCAAGATTGGCCTCGGTAAGGGGAGCGACAACGAGAGCGGGCTCGGACAGTGAGCGTTTGCGTTTGCCGAGCATCGGGAACGAGGGAAGACGAAGGGGAGGGAAAGGGGGAGGAGGTGGAGGTGGAGGTGGAGGTGGAGGTGGAACTGGCGCGGAGCTGGAGGCCTTGATGTTGTTTGTGGGATGTGCTCGACAGAAGGATCCGCCGACCTGAGGAGATGAGACGAGACGGGACGGGACCGGGACGGGACGGGACGAGACGAGACGCAGCACCAACTACACACAAGCCCTGCAAGATGCGCTGCCGGAAATCATCCCACGCTTCTGCAGCTGCAGAGTCACCTGTGATGCGATGCGATGCGATGCGGTTGTGGACGTGAAGTAGCACCGTTGACTTGAGGGCAGCGACTGTAGGACTCCGCAGGCTTTGATCTTTGGCAGTGCTAGCACGTGATGAAGTGCTTGCTGTCACGTGGTGCCTCACAGTACTTTCAATTTGCTCCCACTAGTAAGCCGCATAGAGCCTTCACGCGACGAAGCAAACTAAAAAGTAAGGCCTAAGTTAAGTCCGCATTGGGACTGGAGCGATGATAGCTATTTAGTGGGATTACCACTCCAATCTATCGCGACACTATAAAAGCGCCCCCCTTCCTAAATAAAGGACGGCAACTGTCCTTAGCTATCCCAGCCTAATGGCTATCCTGCCTTCTGTCCTTATGTGGTCCTGGTCTGCCCAGGCACTCGATCGGTTAAGGAATAAGGAACCCTCCTTCCCACTTGCCGCACTATTGTGCCCAGTTCACGTTCCCTTGCGCGGTGCTTCGTGGCGATACTCGTACTTGCGTGTGATGTTCACAATAGTGCAGAAGGGCAGGCTTGGGATTTGCAAGCGAGGGAAGCGGGAGGTGACTACGCCGTCCTTAAAGCCGGAGAATAGAGGCTTGTAGTTCTGGTCGGCAATCCCGTATAGGGTTGTTCGAGGCGTTCATACTCAAGTGGTAAAGCTGACTCTAAAGGACACGGAATAGTTTAGCTTTCATCTATAGGCGGTGGTTAAGGGTTATCTAGATAACTTATATCTATCTAGTCCTAAAAGGATTAACTTAGTAAACTAGTGAAGAGCGAGCTATTACTTAACAAACGAACTAGGCCGGCGCGAGTCTTAGTAGGAGTTGTAAGAGTTAGAGTTGGTTCGCGGTGAATAACTAGGATCTCTAGTGCTACCTACCTCGACTTTATTATATAGGCTATAACCTAATCCTCCTTTATAATAACTCTAAGCTCGCGTCCTTAGATAATAGGTTTTGCTAGTTCTAATAATATATTCTTCGCGTTCTTATAACGAGGGTTACCTTACAATAATAGAAGTTACTATGAAGGTTGGGGTCCTAATTAAGGAGGAAGGAGGTAGTGCTAAGATATGGTTAATAAGGTAAGAATTAATATCACGTAGTGAGATTAGATTAAGTTATAAAGAATATTAGATTCTTATTTAAGTTAAGCATACTATTCTAATAAACGAGAATAGTGCTACCTATATACTATAATACCTCGCGCCGTGATCCTTTTAATTAGTATAATTCGTCCCTAATCACACTAATTACACTAATTAGACCTTTTTTAGTATTCTAAGTAATTAGTCCCTTACGTGATACTTAGTATTAATTACTTCTATTCCGCGTTATCCGTTGCGGTTTGTAACACTATCTCCCTCCCCTAATAGCTTTTATCTTAAAAGGTATATTCGCCCTCTTTTTATAATATACTAAAAGCTCCTAAGCTAATATTCTCGAGATCTATACTAAAGTAGTAGGGCTTTACTAGTCTTAAATAATTCTTTACTAAACGCTATTACAATTTAGTTTCTTTTCTCTAATTCTTTAGTTCTAATATACCTACCCTATATAGTCGCTATCGTTCTAAATCGTTATCTTATTATATAGACGTCTATTCAGGTTATTGCGCCAAGTGTATTTTCTTAGACGCGAAGTGCAATTTAGCCATTACTCGTAGAGAATAGAAGCAGCTTCGTGCCTATAGTAAAGAAATTCGTAAAAAGCTTTATAAAGCTAAACGAGCGATTGCGGAGGCGAACCTCTATTATATATAGCTTAAAGATAAGCTAGCTAAGTAGGAAAATCGTTCCTCCTAACTTATATCGCGCGAACTATTATTAATTATAGAGGTAGAAGCTCTAGAGCGGGGGTAGCCTAGCCCTCCTCCTAAGTTTTTAATAGATTTCCTAGATCCCGCGCCTATCGTCTTCTTAGATATACTTATTATATCTCCTACAACTTAGAATACCCTAGACGGGTTTCCTTCCTCCTTCTTTAAGCCTACCTTTAATAAGATCTTAAATCCTTATAGTACTTCTTTATAGCTTGTTCGCATCTATTAAGATTAGTATATAGCTCCTATATATTATCTAAGTCTAGGTAGCCTTTCTATTTTATAAGGTATTATTATAGCCTATTATTAAAGTTAGTGCTATTATTTAGGATTTTTTACACTTTATATTATCCTTCTTACTTTATTAGGTAGTTGTCTAGTACTTATACTAACACTAGTACCTCTATAGGAGCCGGCTTTAAAAGTGAGATATAGAACACTAGGTGTATCTTTATTCCCTCTAGTAGGTCTAGCTTATAGCTTATATCCTTAATATTTCTAATAATCCTAAAAGGTCCTATCCTAATATAATCTAATTTCTTACTTAGCCTTATTATCTCGATGTTTTTCCGGAGGAGGTAAACTTTATCCCTCTCTTTTAGTATAGGTCCCCTAGATTTATGTTTATTATAGTGAAATATTAACCTCTATAATAGAAATTCGATGTCTTATCACAGTTTCTTATATATGTGTTATATTTCTTCTATAGTTAATCTAGCGGTTTCTACTAGAGTCTAGACTTCCTTTAGCTTATAGAACATTTATACATAGTTAGTGTAGAACGGTATTTATCCCCATTATTTCGTTTACGCTTATATTATATACTAGCTATATAAGCGGTAGTAGTAATACCTAGTTTATCTATCTATAGTCTATATAACCTCTTAGGTACTATTCTAGTACTTAATTTATACGCTTAGTTTATCTATCTATCTATAGGTAGTAAGCTATTAAAAGCTTATAGAATAGTCCTAGCTATACTATAAGCGCGGTCTAGAAGTTCGATGTGAATAGCTTATTCTAGTTTAAGATAATCTTCTTAGGTAGCCCTTATATTACTATTATATTCTAGAGGAAGGTGTATACTAATTCCTTAGTATTAGATGATTCTTTATATAGTATAAAGCGTACTTCTTTTGTTAATTAATCTATAATAGTAAGCACGGAATCGTATTTCACCTTCATTAAGGGTTCTTTAGAAAGAGGTAGCTTAATAATAAAATTCATAGCTACTAAAGCCTATAGCCGTGTTAGTATTATTACTAATTTTATTAAACCGTATAGCTTATACCAGGTTGCTTTTATTTTATAGTATAAATCGCAAGCTATAATATATTCCTCCACTTTCTTCCTAAGTCTTAGGAAGAAGTAGGTGCGGTTAATTACTTTAACTATTTTAAAAATTCCGCGGTGTCCCTCTATTAGACTATCGTGGTATTATTAAATAATCTCTATCCACTAGGCTAGCAGTATATACACTAGTCCTCTAAATAGTAGCAGACTTTTATCTATTTATTTAAATTCCTTAAGGGTTTTAGTAAGTGCCCTCTAAGTATAGGCGTCCTACGTATATACTTTCCGTATATAGTCCTCAAGATTATTATTTATAATTACTATAGTTACCGCTAGGGTTCCCCGATTATAAGTAATCTTTCCGTCTAGATACTATTCTAGAATTAAGCTAACTATCTAAGGCTTTTCCCCTATATAATCTAGTCGCCTACTAAAAGCGTCCGCTTTTACATTCTTAGTACCTTTATAGTAGTAAATTTTAAAATTAAAGGTCAATAATTCCTTAGACTAGCGCATCTATCTTCTATTTAAGACCTTAGTAGTAGTAAAGTATACTAAATTCTTATAATCCGTGAATACTTAAATTAGATACTTAGCTCCTTCTAGATATACTCTCTGTTATTTAAATGCTTCTATAATAGCTAGTAGCTCCTTATTATAGATTTTATAGTTTAGTTCTAGTCCGCTAAACTTTCTCGAGTGAAATGCCACTAAATACTAATATCCCTTATTATCCTATTAATTTAGACATGCTTTTATAGCTAGGTCTAAAGCATCCGTTTCGATAATAATAGCCCTAGTTAGGTCAAATATTATTAGAACTAGTTCCGTACTAAACTATTCCTTTAGTGTATAAAAAGCTTTATTAGCTTCGTCGTTCTACTAGAAACCTTAATTTTTTTTCGTAAGATCTATTAGTAGTGCTATTATTTAGGAGTAGCCTTATATGAACTTCTAATAGAAGTTCGCTAGTCCTAGAAATAATTACACGTCCTTTACTAACTTTAGTATAGGCTATTTAAGTACCGCTTTCACTTTAGTTTCGTCTATCTTAATACCGCGATTAGTAATAATATAGCTAAGAAATTCAATTTCCTATTAGTGGAATTAGCTTTTCTCCGGTACTATTTATAAGTTCGCCTACTATAGTGCCTCTAAAATCTATCTAATATATCGCATATACTCGTCCTTAGTTTTTAAGTATACTAGTATATTATTAAGGTAGACGACTATAAACACGTCTAGGTGTTCTCTTAAAATATTATTAATATATACCTAGAACGTGGCGGGAGTATTAGTGAGTCTAAATAGTATAACTAAATACTTATAGAGTCCGAAACGGGTTCTTATTACTATTTTCCACTCTTTACCTACTTTAATTCAAATCCGGTTATATACTCCTAGAATATCGAATTTACTAAACTACTTAGCTCCCTAGAGTCGATTCTATAACTCCGAAATTAGAGATAATAGATAACTATTCTTAATATTTATATTATTTAGTCCCTAGTAGTTAATATAGGGTCGTAACTTCCTATTCTTCTTAGATATAAATAGAATAGGGTATTCTATAGGTAACTAGGATTCCTATATAAATTCTTTCTTTAGATTTT